AAAACAGCAATGTATGTGGGCCAGTTTGAGGCTACCAGTAGTTTGAAACCCGTACTTTAGAGGATTCAGCTGACGCTGCAACTTTCATTCCTTACTCCTGAGTGACAACAAGAAGGAACCAAAACCAGGGCTTAGTGACATGCTAAATGAAAACACTTGAGTGAAGTTTATAAGTCAATAAGCCATTAAGTGACCAGGCACAGTTAATCTGTTTACTTCTTCAAATAGGTTGTTTACATGTATTTTGGCTGCCAATTACCCACAATGCAAAGATCTTACGTATTTATTACAAGTTCGAATTGATTAGTATTTTGAGGCTAAATGTAGAATTCTGCAGTCTCATATGTTAGCAGACTTGCTGTCCTTATCTAATGCATGCAAAGCTCTGGCATAGTATTATCACTTGCTGGAAATACATAGTTTATCTTGTTTTACGGCAGTAGACGTTACACAGCATCTGCAACCAAAAAGTTTTACTCAGCCTCGTAGTACTCTCAGACATAGAATGTCCCCCAGAAGCATCCAGAAGCCTTACCTTATTTATTTATTCATTTATTTATTAAGAAAATAATGGAAGTTATGGTTCTGAAAGCATGAATTGATATGAAAGTACAGCATTCTAAATCTAGAGTGTACCTGTTGGTTATGATGAACTTCTTTTCCATAAATATCAGAAAGAAATATATGAGAGTGACTACCTGGAGAACTGTGGGAAAACTGTGGCATTCAACCATCTTTTTTTAAAGCTTCTCATTGAAGTATAACATACAGAAACATACAAATTAACCAGTTAGTGGATTTTCTCAAAATGAACGTACCTGTGTAACCAGCACCCAGATCAAGAAATGAGCTATTTATCCATACTACTGTTGATGGACATTTGGCTTTCCATTTGGGAACGATTACATTTGGTGCTGCCTTGAACATTCTTGTACGTTTTTTGGGGGGGTTGTTTTGGGGGGGGGTTGGTGGATTTAGCACAAATCTCTGTTGGTTATTTACACAGGAGGGGAATAGCTAGGTCATAGGGTATCCATATTTTGAGCTTTAGTAGATGGGAGTCAATTTTCCAGTGTGTTTGCACCAATTCAGACTCCACTAGCAGCGTAGGAGTTCTTGTTTTCACATCCAAAGCAACACTAGATCTTGGCTTTTTTATTATAATCGTTCTAATAGATGTCTCACGTGGTTTGAATTTACATTTCCTGACAATTACTGTGATTGAGCACCTTGTCATTTGCTTATTGGCCATTTGTATATCTTGTAAAGTGCGCTGGCTTTGTAAATTTTTTTCTTTAACTTTTAAAAATAAGTAGTTTGCATTTATAAACATTCTCATGGGAGAGCTAGCTACTTCCCCCCCTTGACTTCACTGCAACAAATAACATCTTAGCGATCTGCTGATATATGTATAAAACCATAATGGCTTTGGCCCATAGGATTGCCTTCTAGACAACATAAACAAGAGGAATCTTTTGTGGAATGTTCTTTTTAGGCCATTTAAATTATCAGCATTTACAATTGTTAAGAACAAAATAAAAGTAATAAATAGAGACATAGTTTTTAAAAATTTCATTTTTAGAATAGCCTTTTGCGTTTTTAGGTTTTTTGAATTGGTTTTATGAATTCTGATTGCAAACAATCAGCTGTAATATGTTCCTAATTAGAAAAGTTTATTTAGAAGGAGAATGTAGCTCAAATCTGTCCTTTAAAGAGATACTTATCTGTATAGTTGTTGGGGGGTTTTCCTGCTTACAAGTAATATATGGTCGTCAAAAATTCAAAAGTTACAGAAATACATAACATAGAAGTTGACAGTTTCCCATAATCTTACCTCCCAGAGATGATTGGTTTGTATTCCTCCAGATTTTCTTCTGTGAATTTGCTAACATATATCACGAATGATACACACCACATACAGCTTTGCCACTTGCTTTTTTAACCTAACAATTAACTGTTGTTACTGGATCTTTAGGAGTTTTAAAAGATATTATCTATGATAATTGGGTACTCATTATTGACAGAATGCCTTATTGAATAGATAAATAATAAAATGTAATTAGTATATTAATTTTATTAACCTTACTGATAGAGCTTCACAATGGTTCACCTGGCAGTTTCATTATGCATCTTTAATTAACACAGTGTTTTCCTAGTACACCAAAAAGTTCCAACTAAAGAAGATGTAAATTAATGTAGTTTATGAGCAAGTTGAAACTGGATTTATTTTTTTCAGCAATTTTTTTTTTGTATACTTAAGGCATCCGAATCATGAAAATTCAGATCCAGAATTGGTAGATCTACTCTACATTTTTCATGAGAAATTCTCCAAATGGAGCCTGCACTTCACACTTCGTAATAGGATGGTGGTTTCTGATCATTTCAGGGGGTGCTGGTGGCTGTCAGATTAAAGATGTGCTCTACAGAGGACCTGCAGATCTGACTAGTCATCCAAGGGTTATGTTTGTTTTCTGTTCAGTACTGAGCATTATGGGACTGTTATCAAATCCTTCCTAAAATTGTGTATCCTAGTCTCTGATTGGAAATCTCCAAGTGAATTTTTTTTTTTAAGCAGTGAGGCTAATTTAAAAATATATACTGGTAGGCTTTTTAAAAAGCAGTATTTTACAAATTAAAATAAGTTCCCAAAGTACTCTGCTTTGTGGAGTAGTATAGCATCTAACCCAGGAACAAGCTTTTATTTTCCTCAAAACTCTTCCTTATATTCTAAGGTCTATAGTCTCAATTGGTTGCACCTTATATTGAAATGAGAGTAAACAAGTTGCATTTTCTCTATTCAAGTTTAAAAGACTGTATAAAATAATATCGTTGCTAAATATTAGTGAAGCAACTTTTCTTTCAGTACCTTCATCTTAACTATCACTGCTGAAATCAGTGTGGTCAAGGTTTGGGGGTTTGTCTTACATTTCTTGTACTAAAGCCACACTTTGCTAGTGAAAGATCGCCTTCCAGCTTTGTGAAGTATTTCACCCAAATGTGCTTTTCTGTTCAATGAGACCAGATGGATGTTTCTTTGTGGACTATACATTTGGCAGTCTCAGGAATAGAAAATAGACATTCTTCTCTAGAGGCTTTTCTGTGATGGAACTGGCATCACGTAATAGTTGTCCTCAGTAAGATGGGTGGATGGGAGAAGGTTTAATACAGGTGTTACTGTGCAAAGGGGGGGAAATGCTGTGATGTGTTGTTGCTATCCTAAATGTGAAGTACCACTTTTAATAGCTAATCAAATAATTGTAGGATAAATTGTTTTATCAGGGTCCCAAAAAAGGTGATTCAGAATAATCTGTTAAATGTGCTTTAGAAACATTAGGAACCAGAAGGCATAAAGATAAATGTGTCAGTCTCCTCTCCTTCCTTGGGTAATATGTGTAATATTCCCAAATAAAATGACTGTTAACCCTGTGGTTTTTAGATGTTTTCACTAATTGTTTGGGAAAACAAAATTGTTTCCCATCCGTTCTGGAAACACAGAAACAGGGCTATAGTTCTTCAAACTGTTTGTGTAAATGGTCAAATTGCTTTTTTGTTTTTTAAACAGATTTGTTTCCTGAGCTGAGAACTCATTAACAGACTTACCCTGCAGTATGTTTTTGTCTGCTGAATTAAAGCAGATCAAAACAAAACAACCACCGAGAAAGCCCACCATAACCTGCATGTAGGGTTTTAGCAGTAAGGAATTACTGGTGACAGATGCCTAGCCATTGTCATGTGAACAACTTTGTTGTAATAAACATAAACAAGAGATGCACTGGGGGTGCTACCAGAACTGATTGATCAGACTTTAAGGAGAGTCATTATACCTTAAGCAGCATGACTATGTAGGGAGTATCTCTGTTCAGGATATTGGAAAGCTCCAAGTGTGTGGTGGCTGTGGGGTTATGAGGCAGCTGCTGCTCCCTAATACCTAATACCAGATTTTATAGCTATTTTCAGTTTTAGTTAGGGTGACTTTCTGCTCATGACTTCTGTTACCTTTTTTTTTTTTTTTTTTTTTTAATTAATCTCTACACCCAACATGGAGCTCAAACTCAACAACCCCTGGGATCAAGAGTCGCCTGCCCTACCAACTGTGCCAGCCAGGCACCCCTGTTAACCGATTTTTAAAATAATTCTTTTCCTTTTTTTTTTAATCATTTTATGGGGGGTGGGGAGACCCAGCCTGCTAGGTTGAAACAAAACCTTGTGAAGGAGATTTAATCCCTTGCTTAGGAACGTGGGGATTTAAAATTAAACTGATTTCATTTGTCAGTAAGATCTAGGGCCAATATTGTAAGCGTATCATTTTCACTTGTGTTTATGGAATATATGTAATTAATTTGCCTTATCCTCTTCCTTGTGTTCATAAGCTTTTGAAAAAATCAGGTACTACTTATGGGACTTCACTGAGATCTAACTTTTTTGTAAGTGCAATTTCCTCTGTGCTTTATTTATTTTTTTAAAGATTTTATTTTTTATTTGACAGAGAGACACAGCAAGAGAAGGAACACAAGCAGGGGGAGGGGGAGTGGGAGTGGGGAAGCAGACCTCCCGCTGATCAGGGAGCCCTATGTGGGCTCGATCCCAGGACCCTGGGATCGTGACCTGAGCCACCCAGGGGCCCCTCCTCTGTGCTTTTAAATTCAAAAAGGTATTAAGTGAGACTCCTGGAAGTCAGAGAGGAACAAGTTAAACATAAGGCTAATCAGAGTCCCAAGATGTTTTAAAGGGTGGGTGGTTGGTTTTGTTTTGGAAGTAGGGGTTGTCGTGTCTGTTATTGGGGAGCTCTCTGAAGTGAGAACTGCTGATCTTAGAGTGTCAGTATTTGTCTTTCTTGTTTCCTTTGGGTTAATGTTTGAAATTTATTAATCAGGTTGAGTAAAATAGATATCCTCCCCTAAGGGCTTTCCTGCTTCGTGGAAAAGCTGTGATTTATAAAGTAACACCATAATGAAATAAAGCGATCCTGAAAAGCCTTGGGCAGACAGGTAGTGTAAGAAATTTTAGGCTATTTACCTGGGTCAGTTTGTTTAATTATTACTGTTGTTATTATTTCTGTTCCTGTCGCAGTTGTCATGTCTAATAGTAGGATCCGTCATCCCACATACTGTTTAAACCAAATCTTGCTTGCTACTCTAGAAAATAGGCTCAGATTTCTTCTTAAAGTCCAAACCATTCCTTTGAAGACTAACAGATGTTTGCCCTCCTCTTCAGTCCGTGAAAGGTGACAGTTAAATGAACTCTTACTGGTTTCTTTCCTCTTTGCTTTTCAACACCACAGTCAGTGGAAGTAGATTTGCATCCCTTTCTGCCATCCCTTTGGGTTTTTGACTGAAGCACACGCCCATCCCCTTCCTGCCTCCCTGGAACTGGTTCAAGATTTGGAGAGAAGGGTTTGTTTGGGGGCGTTTCCCTGGTCTTATCTCCGTCTGAGCATATGTGAGGGTTGCATTTATTTTGACCCTTGCACTTTAAATTTGAAACCGAAGCAAGAGTTTAAAGTACGACAGGAGAAGAGAGTCTGCTGAACTTTAAACATGAGGGACCCAGGGAGGAAGGTGCGTACATGCATTCTGAAGCTTTCTCATAGAAGTCGGCCATCTTTATTCGTACACATAGTTGTGAGCCAGTAACTACTAGGAAAAGGGAAAAATTTTAAATTACAGAAAGATCTATGTGACACTTACATTATGTATTTATGTGCTTAATTTTCCAGCAATGCCTCTAGTATTGTTTTGAAATTGATGGCAGAACAAGTAAATTCTGAATTTTTATTTGAAAGCCTTTTGGAAAAGCTTGGGAGGATGGGTATTTGCAAGGAAAAATGAATGTATCATTTGTGATTGACCTCCAACAGAATGACTAAAAATGTATGGGTATTTTAGGTGTTTTATCATTTTGTCTTCTAAAACATAAAATTTAAAAAGCTGTAAGTGGTTATTATTAGATAAAGGTCACCCAGATTCTCCTCAGAGTTGAGAAACAAGTCTCTCTCCGTTGATTAGTACTTACCTTCATCTAGTGGTTTTGTGCACAGTACGTTGTATATATAGTAGGCCGGACTGATTTCTTTCCTGACTGATCTTTTCCAGAGCCTGGCCCAACTAGAGAATCTGTGCAAACAGCTTTATGAGACAACAGACACAACCACTCGACTCCAGGCAGAGAAAGCCTTGGTCGAATTCACCAACAGCCCTGATTGCCTGAGCAAGTGCCAGCTGCTCCTCGAGAGAGGAAGTGTGCGTAAGATTTGAAAACTCCTGAAGGAGGAGAGAGGTTCAGGAAAATATATTCCAAGTTTAAGGGCGGATTGGGATAGCTTGTGTTCCTTAATCCTTCTAGGTGCCTCTCTGCCTTCTTAATTTCACCTTTAAAAAGCACCATCGCTAGCTGCCAGGTTGACAGTGAAAGGACACACAGCCTCCTCCTCAGGAAAATCTCATTGAACATATACTTTGCTCTGTCATTTTTCATCTTGAATCACATTTCTGGGACTTTCTTTCTGTTTTTCACACTTAAGTACCACCTCGGATCCTTTACAAAGGAGCCAGAGCTGTATACGAATGAGCCTTCTTACCCACAGAGCCCATGTCACCGTGCAAGCTCCCCAGTGGTCGCTGTGCTGTCGCCTCTGTACCACAGCTGCTGCTTACTGCCTCGGAGGCATGGGGGGAACGTTCCACAACAAGAACCACCAGAGGTTCGAGCTTTTAAAATGCAATCAGAGCCTCTTGGAGCTTAAAAATGGCAGTCCAGTGGTCAGTATCATGCTGTCAGTGAGACCTGGTTTGGTTAAATTAGTATTTGGGGCAAGATGGCGGTCTTAGGAGGGCTAAGAATCCAGCCAGGGTATCCTGAAAGGGCCCGAGAGAGTCAGAATCCCAACTAGACCAGCAGCTAGCACTCTTACTTCAGACTGGAAGGACATGTGGAAAGAACAAAAGCAGTTAATTTGTTTTGAAGGTAAAATTCTGGATGACTTCATGTTTGAATTTTCATTGACAGTGTAACAGTATTTGTTCAGTTGGCTAAAAATTATCCTTTAGTAGCTAAGAGAGCTAACTGTTTTTCCAAGCATCAGAAGGTTACAGAGCCCTGGTCAGAGACCATATAGTGCTCTGTTCTGTTTTCGCATGTAGTATGTTGTAAATTTCTTTCCAGTCCCTTAGTCTTAGGATTGACCCACTTATATTCGTATATTTTGTGCTCCGGGAGGTGCATAACCAGCTCTTCCAGGTGACTCCCACTGGAGCCCCACAGTATCATCGTATCATCTTTGACCCTATTAACTCTGGATCCTCATGTTGACAGTCAATAAATAAAACAAGCTGCAGTAAAACAGGATTGGTGCAGTACTAAAAACAATCATAGTGGAATCTTCCTTTTAATCTCTATGGACTTCTTAGTGACGTAGCAGGTTTGTTGGAATTGTGTATAAAAACCATTTAGATGTTGCATAATGTCTAGTTACAGTTGTATGCTGTATTCTACAGTTAGAGTAGCCTCTCATGCATTGTTAGTGATTTGACACACCTGCTCTAATCAGTTTAAACCATGTTCAGGGGTGTTAAATAAAAATCACATGTCAAAGTCACTTTATAGATTTTTTTTCTTAAGCGTAAATTTTTTTATAACTGGTGGCATTATGCAGTGCCTGTGGATAGCCTACTGTCTTAAGGATTCTTAGTGTTATAGGAAATTATCCTTGACCCTTAATTAAATTATTTTAATAGTCCTGAGTCTGTCCCTGTTATATAGGACATTATCGTAATAGAGCCACCTAGAAGAATTTGCACATGGCACTTTTTTATACATTATGATCAGTTAGAATACCGGAATATTTTATTCTCCATAAGGTTAAAATTCATAAAATCCACATGTGAGAATATGATAATGCTGTTCCCTTGCATAGGGCATAATTTTTCTTTCTCATAAATAACTGGTATAAATTTACTTTAAAACTAGCATATACATCCCCCAAAGCTGTACCTGATTGATAGCTGTGCTGATGTAAAGATACAGGTTAGGAATTAACTCTACAGCATAATGTAATGGCTCCCTCTAATGCTGCTTTAAAAAAAAAACAACAACTTTCTAATGGTATACTATAGCAATATTTTGAGTTGAAACTTTTGAAGCATCACTATAACAAGGCTTTTGACAGAAGATTTCTTGGTTTAAATGAAAGAAAAGATCCATCTTCTAAAGATTTGTCTTGTATCTTTCTGAAATGATCCTCTCTAGCATGGGCCCCCTCTAAGGGATGCAGAATCTGCCCTGGATTCAGGTCAGTCAGGCCATTCGCTTCATACTGCACCTTGTTCATAACTGAAATCAGCTCAGTGAACACATACTCTGTGTGGGACTCATTTTTCCTTAGACCCTCTAAAATGCGGAGGATTGACTATTGCAAAACTGATTAATATTTCTTGAATCTCAGCATAGATCTCCAAATAAAAAAACCTCATGACTGACTAACTTAATAAAATTGAATTCTAAGTCCTTTTCCCCGTCTTTCCACAGTCCTCTTACTCCCAGTTACTGGCAGCTACATGCCTTACAAAGCTTGTATCACGCACAAACAACCCTCTACCATTGGAGCAACGCATAGATATTCGTAAGTAGAGAATTGATCTGTTTTCAAGAAATTAGTTTGTTTAGTGATGTGCTTAGTAATAGTTAAATTTATGTTGCTTGTTTGATAATGTTCTGGAATTGGTAAGCATACAGAATATGTAGAATCCAGGTCCCCCCTTCCCCCCAGAATTTGGGGCTTTTGAAAGTAAAGAGGATCTTATATAATTATTTCTAGATAAAGTCTTAAGTCATCCCTTTTGTCGTCAAGAGGTTTCTTTCGTTCAGTCCTTACTGCCATTAATAACTAAGAAAAATGTTGTTAAGGAGTTTGAATTCTGTGCAGGCATGTTATTTAACTATCTAGTAGTAGATTCAAGGCTGCCGTACTCCAGGGTCTTCACTGTGACAAGTATAAAATCCTGAATTGGAAAGCCCACTAATCTTAAATTCAAAGTCCCATTTCTCAGTCACATTAAGAATTAAGGGAATACAACAGAAACAAGAATTAAGGGAGCTTAGGGGAAATAGGCTAAACTTATCATTTCTTGGATGCTTAATATATTTAAAGATGTGTGGCCTTCCCTGGCAGAGCTTTCTGTTATGCAGAGTTTTTTGTTTTGTAGGGAACTATGTGCTCAACTACCTTGCCACTCGGCCAAAGTTGGCTACTTTTGTGACACAAGCACTTATTCAGTTATATGCCAGAATCACAAAACTGGGCTGGTTTGACTGTCAGAAGGACGACTATGTCTTCAGAAATGCAATCACAGACGTCACAAGGTTCTTACAGGTATGACGTATATATGTGATGTGATGTAGTAGGAATGTGAGAAGCAACATGTATATGTTTATATAGTGATCTACTTTTTAAAAATTACACAAAATGGAATTATTTTGTACATTCTCTTCTGTGTCTTTTTTGCCTTTAATATTCCTTGGCTTTACATGCTTACGTGTCAGCACAGACAAACTCCGGTTTTTCTAATGCCTGTATACTATTCCAATCTGAAAATACCATCACTTAATAACTAATGTCTTATAGGTGGGCATTTAGTTTGGTTCTATACTTTGACTGTTAAGTAAACACTTCAGTAAATAAGTTAAGTAAACTTAAAATACATATACACCTGCCATACTTGGAATAAGTGTGTTTGTAGGGTGAATTCCTAGGCTTGGAATTATACAGTCAAAGGGATATGTGTATTTTGGGCTTTCAAAGACATTTCCAAATTATCCTCAAAAAAGGTTGTTTCCTACAACAATTAAAAGAGTGCCTGTCTCTATACCTCCACCCCGGGAACTCAGCTTTTTTATTTTTCCAATTTAATAGGTAAAAAGAATTAGTATCTCAGCATTTGAGTTATGAATGAGACAGAACAAATTTTCGTATGTTAATTTACTACTTGTTTGTTTTTTTTTTTTCTGTAGAACTTCCGATTTGTATCTTAAAAATCTGGAGTTCTTTGTCTGTTTCTTATTGTTGTATGTGGTCTCTTTGTGAATTATGTTACACATCCACTTGTCACTTACCTTAAATGTATTTTGCCAGTTTCTCTTTGTATAATGGGTACGGTATAATGCTTATGACTATTTTTGAAATACAAAAGGTTTCAGTCTTGATGAAGTCAGATTTAGCATTCTTCCTCTGTGGCAGTTATATTTTATGTCCTGCAAAGCAACAGTTTTAAACTACAATTCCTCGCTGCCTTATCTGGGCAGTTTTAATAGCTACACAGGACGCTGCCACGTCAAAAGCGCGGCTGCACCGCCATTGCTGAAGTCTCGCTGCACACACCAACTCGTGCCTCACATTGTTTTTACCAGGATAGTGTGGAATACTGCGTCATTGGCGTCACTATTTTATCTCAGCTAACCAATGAAATTAATCAAGTAAGTGCTACAGCCTTCCTCATTGAAGTAAGTGCCATATTTTTTCTTAGTATTGGTGTTTTCTGCTATGTGTGAGATGATCTTTTTTGGCAGTTGTGTGCTTTTGCGGTAAGTGATTAATGCCCTTTGAAACAACAGTTCCGTTGGATTTTCCTCTGTACGTGCAGCCTACCTCGTTCTTAACATCCTAGTCCCCTTCTGTCTCCAGAACAGCTCTCCTTGCTGATATCAATGTTCGTTGTGCGAGATGAAAGCAACAGGCCTAAGTCAAAGCCTTAATAAATCACTGCTTTGCTAATAAAAGAGAATGTGTTCAAAAAGGGGGTCACAAAAGTGGAACCAGACCGTTTGTGTGCCACTTCTGCTAAATACATTAATATGTATTTATAACCCTTTAAAACTCAATTCCCATGTGCTGCTATTAAAGGCTTCTCTGGTGGTATTTTTGGAATGCATAAAACATTCTGCTAAATACCAAATAATTTTTTGAGTAGTCCTTCTTGTCACAGGTTACTACAGAGGAAAACACCAGTGGCTTTCTTTTGCTCTGGCTATTATTTTTTTTAGTCATTTACTTTTGTATCCAGCTAAAATTTTGTAATTATTGAACAGGCCAGTATTAATATTAGTTGTGACATCTCACCCTTCGGTCACCAGCTGTAAATTACATCGGCATCACTGTTGCTATTGCGCATATTTATGCAGACCTTTTATTAACCCTGAGAATTTTAACTGTGAGGTAGTACTGTTTTAAATGCATCAGCTTCTAGCCATTTAAACTCTGGAGTCCATACTGTGTTCTCTGTCACATGCACTCCCCACTATGGTCAGTAATTATCAAAATAATAATAGCTTGTACTCTTGAGAGACTACTGTGCAGCAGACGCTGTTCTGAGCACTTTACTGATAGCAGCTAATTTTATTCTCACCGTAGTGCTGGGAGGTAGGTTCCATGGCTGTTCCATTTTCTAGGTGAGGAACCTGCAGCACACAAAGGTCAATAATTGGCCTAAGGTATCCCAGTTAGCAAGCAACAGTATCTGAATTTGAACCTGCACAGTCTTATTCCAGAGCCTGTGCTCTTAACAAATAACTTATTACTGAACCACTATTACCTTTGTAATACAAGAACACGCATTAACTGAGAAGAGAGATTGTGGGGTTAATGTTCTCCTCTTCAAAGCTTGGCCCCACGAAATCACCAATGTTGATACTTTTTAAAACTCCGAAATTTTATTTGTCTTTCTTAATGGAACAGTAGAAATGTGTGTAATGTACTTAATGTGTGCAGTTATTCTCTGTATTATGATCAGCATAACCGATTATATATGGAATATGGTATATAATCTGGCAGTGCCATATTATCCAAGACATTTATGATAATACAGTGACAGTGAAGCTAGAATTGGGGGATACTTTGAACCTCTGCAAAACTTAGTTTTCTGTTGTTTTTTTGGTTGTCAGATTTAAATCAGAAAGCATATTTCTGTTACCAGCCCTGTCTGAACTTAGAAATAAAATCAAGGGGAGGGGTGCCTGGCTGGCTCAGTCGAGGGAGCATGTGACTCTTGATCTCAGGGTCGTTAGTTCGAGCCCCATGTTGGGTGTAGAGATTACTTAAATAAATAAAGCTTTAAAAAAGAAAATCAAGGGGAGTCCATAACTTGATGGTCAGAAATCTTGCTGCATTCTTTAATGTGCCAACAGCAAATGCGCCCCCTCTTGGATGAATTGATTGGTATATAGAAGAGACTTAAGCTTTCAGTAGGTGGTTGGACTAAAAATTCCCTTAGTAACCTTGAAATCCCTTTATTCCACTTACTGAAGTGTCTGTGTGTCAGGAATAGAGGGCGTACTAAAGAAGTAAAAGACAGAGTTCTTAACCATAAAAACCTTTAAAGTTTGGCTGAAAAGAGGGGCACCTGGGTGGCTCAGTCGTTGGGCGTCTGCCTTCGGCTCAGGTCGTGATCTCAGGGTCCTGGGATCGAGCCCCACGTGGGGCTCCCTGCTCGGTGGGAGGCCTGCTTCTCTCTCTCCCACTCCCCCTGCTTGTGTTCCCTCTCTCGCTGTGCCTCTCTCTGTCAAATAGATAAATAAAATCTTTAAAAAAAAAAAAAAAAAGTTGGGCTGAAAAGAGAGGAACAGAGGAAAAAATGAGAGACTGATGCTGCCCTTCAATTAAGTGCTCACTTCTGAAATAGAGACTACATGTTGAAATAGGTTAGAGAAGGCAGAGGGTGTTATGGGCTATTGTCAGTTATCCTAAGTTCATGGCTGTCAGTTAAGAACTGCTTTGGAAATTCTGTGGCAACTTTAGTCTTGAGTGGATTGTTTATCAAGCTTTGCCACTGTCTGTTTCTGAGACTGAGCCACAATACAACATGCTAGTAATTATTAGCAGTATCTGCCAGCAATTGGTTAAATTTTACCTCCCTAAATGCAGAGGAAATTAAAACTTTACAGTGGAGATGCTCATCCCTCTTTCTGTCTTCCGTCTGTAAGCTGTAGACCTATCCTGCTGTTAGCAGCTTATTGTCCTTTGCATCCTCTCATTATACGTGAGTTAACCGTGATTTAAACATTAAAAATGTATTTTTATGTAAGTTGGTTTTATTGGAAATCCTAGTTTATTTCAAGTCTATATGAAAATTTTTTTTTTTTGCAATTCTAAAACTTGGATTGGTTTATCTTTTTGCACAGGCCGACACCACGCATCCTTTAACCAAGCACAGAAAAATAGCTTCTTCCTTCCGAGACTCATCATTATTTGATATCTTCACACTTTCCTGCAATTTACTAAAACAGGTGAGATTGTAGATTGGGTCCTGCTTCCCAGCCCCCTTTGAAAGGATGAGAATGAGTGGGGATCTGTTAGAGGTCAGTTCCATGCTGACCCCTTGAGAGTTGGTGCAGCTCTAACCATCACCATCTCTCACATGATGCCAGTCTCCAAGATGTGGAAGAAAGTGCCACACTGACGACTGATTTTAGAGAGGGGATTAGAATTGCCTCATTTCAGAGCCGTTCCCCTAAGCAAAGCGCAGTAAGTGAACACGTATCCCAAAGAATCTAGTTTACCACGAAGTTTGGGATTTTGTTGTTTGCTTTTTTTATACCCACATAAAATCTTTCTGCATGGAATAAAGGCATATTGGCTTTATGGTGTTTGGATTCTTAGTGCTCTAAAAGCAGGTTCTGACTGCATTGTTAGCATACTGAAACAGGCCGGCTCCCCTGCCCCCTACTGAGTTACAGGCGGCACATAACCAAGCAACATCTGTAAGGAAAAGTAGATTTTGAATTTTTAACATCCATTTAGATTTCATAACCTGAAGGGGTAGACCGTTATCCCATAAGGAAATTACCTGTTTTAAAACAGAAAATGGGTGTTGAAGTTCATTTAGGGATGAGTTGAACTAGGAAAGAAATGCTCACCTGTGAGTCCTACCCATTTATAACAATCTCTAGGGACCTCCCCATAGAAAGCTAAATGGGGTTAGCCTCTGGCTGTTCGTTCATTTTGGGTTGTTTGTTTGTTTTGGGTTTTTGTGGGGTTTTCTGTTCTTAGTCTCATTTTCCATTATGTCGTGAGTTTTAGAAGCAAGTTAGGATTCTTTGTGTTGTCCCAGTTAATGATATTTAGCTTTTTCCTCAATTACCTAGTTCTATCTCAGAACTCCCAGACAGTCCTCAGGATGGGCAAGCTACCTAGCAAAAGCTATTATACCCCCTGAGGGGGGAAAGCTTTTGAGAAAACTGAGGATTGACTCCTCCTGGCTGATACCATCAAAAACAATTAGCCAGCTAGTCACTGAGGTCACCAGCCCCATCTAGAAATACCTAGGATCTCATAGCAAATGGAGTAACCACCCATCCCATATTGCTTCAGAATCCCCTGTGGTCAGTATGTCTACAACATGTAAAGAATACATGTCAAAAGGGGGATTTCTTTAAATACCAGTTCCATGTTTTTATAGTAAATAAGGAGCTAGGATTTTCATAGTGACATTAAGGTGACAGAAGTGCAGCCTCTTTTGCAGGGGAAACATCACTTTATTGAGTTGAAATACTGCCCTCCTTTTCTGGCTTAACAGCCTTCTCAGGAGTCTGGCACCAAGCTTGGAAGAGGGAAGTGATTGTTTGGGCTCATTATGTGGTGATTTTTACAGGCTTCAGGAAAGAATCTAAACTTGAATGATGAAAGTCAGCATGGCTTGCTCATGCAACTGCTCAAACTCACTCATAACTGCCTAAACTTTGATTTCATCGGCACTTCTACTGATGAGTCCTCAGATGACCTGTGCACAGTACAGATTCCCACCAGCTGGAGATCAGGTAGGAGCACTGCACCAGCAGGAACAGACTGCTGCTCAGCCCCACACCGTGTCTGCGGGATGGTCTAAGCAACCCCTGGCTAGCCCTTGCTTGCTGTTAGGGAAAACTTAGAAAGTCAGCATCTTTCTTAATACAGTGAGGAAGAGGGTGTTGGAGGAACCTTACAGATCCCTCAGCCTGGGAGATCTTTTTTAATTACTGGGTTACTAATGGATGTGAGTTTGACCTTCTTGCATTCATCACCTAGAGACTCCTGTGATCTTACTCATTTGAGGTCATTTCTAGGTTTAAACACGAAATCAGAGAAAAGGACTTGTGCTTATGCTTGTTTTGTGTTCTTCAGGATCAAACATCTTGCATTGAACATAGTCCTGACTGTCTTAAGTTCTCTGAGAATCACAAGAATGAATCTGTTCCTTAGAGGAGCTGAAACCTAGTGCTTTAAGAAACAAACAGGGCAAACCAAAAGCCTCTCTTAGCTTATCACTTGAAAGGAAGTAAACCCTGTGAGAAGAAAAAACAGAGGACGCGCCCCTAATACACAGTGCTGTAGGCATGTCACTAGCAATGAGCGACGTACTCAGTAACGGCTCCTCTGTCTTTTTTCAGCGTTCTTAGATTCTTCAACTCTGCAGCTGTTTTTTGACCTGTATCATTCCATCCCTCCTTCATTTTCGCCTCTGGTGAGTCAGGACTACAGTTTCTAAAGCCTAACCTACATCTAGAAAGTAGCAATGGTGAATGAGCCTTATGCTCATTCATTTTGTTGTACAAAATCATGCAAGTAAAGCATAGAAATGCTAGGGTTAGTTATCTAGCCTTTTGTGGTAAAACGTGTGGCCTAAACGTTCTCGCAATAAAGTCTTAACTTAATTCTCTTTAAATTATTCCTCTCTGATGACAAATTGCTGTAAATGTCAAGCTCTTCTGGTCTCATCTTGAATCTGACTTTATACTGGACCTCAAACAGCCTCAGGCTAGAGTTGGGGGGTGGGGCGGGGCGGGGATTCAGCTTGTATTGTCTAATTGAAGATTATCCTGCCCAAGAAAATTTTAGAAAAATCCTTCAGGCACATGTTACATAAGTGATAAATGGAAGCTGTAAGGGGAAGGCAAATTTGTATACTTTTCTGGATAACATTCGAGAACTCTTGGAAATGATGCATTTCTCCTTTAAAGCAGTAATTACCCTCCTCAAATCTCAAAATTCATCCAGGTCCTGAAAGACATTGGCCTAGTATTTCAGACTGTTTGGTGTAAAATGCTACCATACAAAACACACAGATAAGACAGTAAAGTAATGGGTGTTTTACATAGTTTTCTACAGTAGGCTGTTTTCCTGGTTATTATGGTACTTTTCCAAATGTAGACCTTAGCTTTAGTAGAAACGAATTCAGTGGTTTGTATCGTTAAGTTTACTTCAGGAAAAGGTAGCTCACTCAAGAGAGAGAGTCATAAAAGGACTCTTAGTAAAGATGTTGGCAACACTAAGGGAATCCAACAAGGTGAGGTGAGGTACACCCTCTAGAGGGTGCAATAGTGGGAAGCCCCAGGGGGCACGGGGGAAACCCTGGAAAGAGCTAAAACTGTGTCTTAGGGGAGGGCTGGGCAGCACAGGGAGAGGGACACTGCCAGTCATGGCCCAGCCAGGGGTCCAGAGGGGGTGCCTCTTTTCTTCCTGCCCTTAATCTCCTTTTAGTACTATCCAGTGGTTGAAGCCTACTAGAGGCAAGAGGGCAGCGGAGCTCTGGCTGTTGGTGGACAGAAGTCAGCCTCCCAGGGAACAGAGCATGTGGAGAAGGATAGAAGACAGATATGGAGAGGCAAACAATATAAATATCTAGCACAGTGGGGAAAGGGTAAAATGTTTTCAGTGTAAAGCCTATTCTTTTCAGGACACAGATCTAACTTGGTTATTTCATTATGGCAAAGCCTGATTAGCCAAAAGTCTTCTATTTATTTATTTATTTGACAGAGAAAGAGATAGCGAGAGCAGGAACACAAGCAGGGAGAGTGGGAGAGGGACAAGCAGGCTTCCCGCTGAGCAGGGAGCCTGATGTGGGACTCAATCCCAGGACTCTAGGATCATGACCTGAGCCGAAGGCAGACGCTTAATGACTGAGCCACCCAGGTGCCCATGATTAGCCAGAAGTCTTAATGAAACAGAGAAAACTAAATCTAAACTAAAACTAATAAAACAGAGAAAACTAGATCTTTCTATATTGTGATAACTTCCCACTATTGCACCCCCTAGAGGGTGTACCTCACCTCACCTTGTTGGATTCCCTTAGTGTTGCCCACATCTTTACTAAGAGTCCTTTTATGAACTATCTCTCTTGAGTGAGGTACCTTTTCCTGAAGTAAACTTAATGATACAAACAGAGAAAACTAAATCTTTACTTAACCTACGAATTGTATGGTATTTCCAAGCCTTAAGTATATAACTTAACAAGAATCAAAGAAGCCCTTGGGTGGTCAAAGAATAATACCTAAATGAATTTCCACACTGTGAATTTAACTAGTTGTTATGGTAACTTGGATTTAATGATCTTTTTTTTTTCTTTTAATAAAGCTGTTTCCAGTATCCTCAGCTGCACTCTCCTTGATCTTTCTATATCGTGATAATAGTAGCAAGAAGTTGAAAGAACAGAGTTAACAGCATATGTAAAGAAGAATGTTCTAGGAGGGGAAGGAGGGAAAAGATAGTATGGAGGAGCCATATCATCTTTTTAATCGGTTGTCTTTGGTTGTGCCTGCTTTTAGGTATTATCCTGTTTAGTACAGATTGCCTCAGTAAGAAGATCCCTGTTTAACAATGCAGAGAGGGCCAAGTTTCTCTCACATCTTGTTGATGGTGTTAAACGAATACTGGAAAACCCACAGGTAAGATTTTTGAGAATTTATTGTTTGAATACATATTTAAATATATGTTGTGTGTGTGTGAGATTAGTATGTGCCTCTCTGTTGAGTCAGAAGGAAATCCATCTAGAGGCCACACTTAGCAGAAATCCTAGAGAACAGTTCAGTGTGTCATTCTCAGAAGATTTAAGTGAGTCTGTATCTGTAGGCAGATTCTTTTTTTCTTTTTTTTTTTTTAAGATTTTATTTTTTTGTCAGAGAGAGCACAAGCAGGAGGGGAGCGGCAGGCAGAGGAAGAAGCAGGCTCCCTGCTGAGCAAGGAGCCCAATGCGGGACTCAATCCCAGGACCCTGGGATCATGACCTGAGCTGAAGGCAGACGCTTAACTGACTGGGCCACCCAGATGTCCTGTAGGCAGGTTCTTTTTTTTTTTTTTTTTCTGTAAGCAGATTCTTGAGAGTTTACCCAAATGAGGAGTTTGTATCCTCCAGCGTCAGGAATGCAAGAGTTAGGGAAAAGGATCACTTTGACACAGAAAAATAAGGAGAGAGCGCTAGTCATTTTTCCCCCAAGAAATTAAGAATCTAGAGTTTGGTTTTTGTTTCTGTTTTCCTTTTTTTTTTTTCTTTTTTTTTTAATATACATTATTTACCCAAGTGTGTAGGCCTGCTTTTAGGTGGGAAGGGAGATATTGCCCGTTTAGTATTCAATCCATAACTCGATTGCCCTTTTTGTGTTTTTCAGTCTCAGAGATTCAGCCAACACCTACTTTTTTTTAAAGTACCACTTCTCTACACTAGGAAGTACCAAACAAGCATTTCATTTTTAAATATGCTCAGTTCTGGGGGCGCCTGGGTGGCTCAGTTGTTAAGCATCTGCCTTTGGCTCAGGTCATGATCCCAGGGTCCTGGGATCGAGCTCCACATCGGGCTCCCTGCTCAGCGGGAAGCCTGCTTCTCCCTCTCCCTCTCCCCCTGCTTGTGTTCCCTCTCTCACTGTGTCTCTCTCTGTCAAATAAATAAGTAAAATCTTAAAAAAAAAAAAAAAAAAAAAGGCTCAGTTCTGTCCCTCTTTTTAATAATTCTTTTTTTTTTAACTAAAGTACAGTTGACTCAGAATGTACGTTAGTTTCAGATGTACAACATAGTGAAACAACTCTCTACATTGTTATGCTCACCACACAGCACTATTATATTCCCTGTGCTGTACCTTTCATCCCCAGGACGTCTTCACTCCATAACTGGAAGCCTGTGCCTCCCACTCCCCTTGGTCCATTTTTGGCCATCCCCCCATTGCCTCCCCTCTGGCTACCCTCGGTTTGTTCTCTGTATTTATGGGTCTGTCCCTGCTTTTTTTGTTTGTTCATTTGTTTTAATTTTTAGATTCCACATATAAGTGAAATCCTGTGGTATTTGTCTTTGTCTGATTTAGTTCACTTAGTATAATACCACCTAGGTTCATCCACTTTGTCACAAATGGCAAGACCATAGTTATTTTTATGGTGGGGTAATATAATACAGTGTGTATGTATGTGTTCTATATATGCGTATATGGAACATATATAGATATATAAACCACTTCTTTATCCATTCATCTATCAATGGACACTTAGGTTGCTTCCATATCTTGGTTATTGTAAATAATGCCGCAGTACACATAGGGTTTCATATATCTTTTCAGATTAGTGTTTTTGTTTTCTTTGAATAGTTACCCAGTAGTGAAATTACTGGATCATATGGTAGTTCTATTTTTAATTTTTTGAGGAACCTCCATACTGTTGTCCACAGTGGCTGCACCATTTTGCATTCCCACCAACAGTGCACGAGGGTTCCTTTTTCTCCACATCCTCACCAACACTTGTTCTTTCTTGTCTTACTAATCTAGGAATTAAATTGTTACAGCAATAATGATATATTGTAAATAAACATTTGTGTAACTTTGCCACTGAAGTATAGTCTTATTTAATGATAAATTTGACAGATGGAAAAATGAAAATTTCATGATCTCTGATTAGTGGGAAGCAAACAGACCAGCCACATCTTCAATTGTACCCCTTTTCCGTTATTAATCCGCTTTACAACTTTAGACAAGGAATGTGATCCTTCTGAGCTTCCATTTCAGACTTTGAATTGAGGCTAATAATTTCATCTCACAGGATGATTGTTATGAACAGATGAGATAATAGATGTGACCATCTCTTTTAAAAGTGACTTTGTAAAAAATTGTTTTTAAATATTCTACAGATGTATCATTGTAAGTGAGGACCTGTAGCTGAGAAGTTAAAGTAGATTCTCCCCTCCCCTTATGCCATCCCCAATATCATTCTGGAAGTATAGTGCATCACATGTTACATTTTATTTTCCTCCTGTGCTGTCACCAGAGTTTATCAGACCCAAACAATTACCATGAGTTTTGCAGACTACTGGCCCGATTGAAGAGTAACTATCAACTGGGAGAATTAGTAAAGGTGGAAAACTACCCTGAGGTCATCCGATTGATAGCTAACTTCACAGTGACCAGCCTACAGGTTTGTCTTTGCTTGTCTTTCTCTTTCCTACACATTGGAACCTCTTCTCTTGCTCATTGATTTTAAAGTTTAAAGAATACGGGCATACCTCATTTTAATGCACTTCACACATACTGCGTTTTTTACAAGTTGAATGTTTATGGCAGCCCTGCATTGAGCAAGTGCATCAGTGCCATTTTTCCAACAGCACTTGCTCACTTCATGTCTCTGTTGCATTTTGTTAATTCTCGCAATATTTCAGACTTTCTCATATTTGTTATGGTGATCTGTGATCAGTGATTATGACCCTGAAAGCTCAGGTGATGGTTAGCACTTTTAGCACTGAAGTATTTTTTAGTTAAGGTATGTACGTTGTTTTTTGAGACAATGCTGTTGCACACTTATTATAGTGTAGTGTAAAACAGCCTTCTTATGTGCACTGAGAAACCAAAACACTCATTTGACTCGCTTTATTGCAGTGGTCAGGAATCAAACCCGTAGTAATATCTCCAAGGTGTACTGTATTCCCTTCTCCACCCACCCCCGCCAACCCCCCGGCAAAAGTGAGTATCAGTATAGGGCAACCTGCAGAGTAGTTACTGCAGCCTGCTCATTTGCCTTACATAAGTGCAAGGAGTTTGGTTAGAGGAACATGTGGGAATTGCAAGGATAATATTTAGATTATCACTCTGAAAAAGGCAAGATTGGAATGGAGTGAGACAGAAGAGTCAAGAGAGAGCTAGTGACCTCTCTTTCTTAGTCGTGTAATATAGGACAGTGGTTCTCAAATTTCATGGCTTGCATCAAAATCATCTGGGGAGTTTGAAAAATACAGGTGCTTGTGTTTTACCCCCATAATTTCTGCTTCACTAGATCCAGGGTGGAGCCTTGGTGTCTCTATGTCCAACAAGTTCTCCAGGTGATTCTCATGGATACTAATGTTTGAGAACCATTTACACAAGGCTTTCTTTGTGGGAAGGCTTACACAACCAGCGTAGAACAGGTCTTTTTATTAGATGCTTAATCTCTGAAATAATAATAAGCACATTGGATGGATGAGTTGTCATGCACAGAACAAAGCTCATAAACATTTATCCTTTTTTTTTTTTAAGCCTTTTTCCTTTGTGTGAAGTGTACAAAAAATGAGAAATGTGCCTCCTGCTCTTTTGGTTTTCCTTAGCACTGGGAATTTGCCCCAAATAGTGTGCACTATCTCCTGAGCCTATGGCAGCGGCTGGCAGCCTCTGTGCCATACGTGAAAGCCACAGAGCCCCACATGCTGGAAACTTACACTCCTGAGGTCACCAAAGCCTATATCACATCCCGTTTGGAATCTGTGCACATCATCCTGAGGTAAGGAAACTGGGACAACTGCCTGGTGTCAGACTTGCCAGAGGTCAGACACCCAGTTGGCAAAAGCGCACTTGACTTGGGCCTCCTTGGAGGTGACGCCGTTAATGGCCGTTTCCTCACGTCAGCCCCGAATAGCAGGTGGAGCATAAAATCTGAGCGAACAGGCTTTCTCTGCAACATCCTCATTCATGTCCCCGTTTTCTGCCCTCCTTAGCCATCTCTTTGAAATCAAGGTATATCAGTATTCTGTTTGCCCTTGCTGATGATTCCTTTTCAACATGACAGGAACATTTATAACCAATAGATGATAAGAATTATATGTAAGTTATAGGTGGTTTAGTTTCCTGAAAAAGAAGTGGATAAATAAGATGACACAGTCCAGAGATTACTAGCAGAGGTAGAATCCTGGGCAGCTGATTGCCGATCGCATTACAAGAATGCATGGTTTCTGTCTACCTTGACTGTTAACTGGACCAGAAATCTATAGCTAAAGAAATGTTAGATGCTTTCAGAAATGACCTATATAAAATGAAGTTATTCTTTGTTTAGGGACCTGTCTTTTAGGGGAATTGACTTGGACTCTGAAGGTCTGGGTTTTCTTGTTTTGGTTTTTTTAAATCAGATCTTAATTGGCATTTAATTGTCATAAGAGTTATAGGCTCAACTGTTAACGACTTGAATCCTTTGAAAATGCAAGTATTTGTGAAGTCCACTGGAAAGCATTGTTCTATCAGCTACATAATTTCTGTTCTTAAGGATTCAGGTGGTTTCAGTGAGGCATTGTTGAGGAGTGGTTACAGGTGTGGGCTTTGGTCCCGGATAGCCAGTTAATAGCTGTGTGCTCTTGGGCAAGGTTATTAAAAGGATTAAATTACTATGTTCTGGCCCAGTGTGTGGACCATAGTACACACACAATTGTGAACTCCAGTAATGGTCGTGGTGGTGCAGCTGTTGGGTTGTCACACTGTGATATAGCAATAGACAAAGAGCTCAGAGTATGACACATTCCTAGCTCTAGGAGCCGATAGATAAGGTAGGACCTGGTGTAGATCCATGGTGCCTCATCTGCGAGTCTGAAATGCAAGACATGAAAACTAAATTTTCTCTTAAGTTTGGAATCAAAACTCATTTGGTGGCAAAATTTTACATGTGCTAATATGAGACCATTTAGAGCCTTTTTTAAAACTTCTGCTTTGTATGATCATTCCTGATGGTTATATATTTTGCTACAGGAATATTGAAGTTGATACACCAGAGAGCTCATTGAGGGTTCATATCACATGGTAGAAGCATCATATTGCCTCTTTAAAATCTGAAGATCTCTGAATTCCAAAACACATCTGGCCACCATCGCCCCACACAAGGACAGGATATTTGTAGTCCCAAAGCTTATTAGAGTTAAGAACAGCAAGAGACTAAGAACCAGGAGCTCCTGGGGTGAGAAGCATAGGACTGAGAGGGTCGAGGCAGACTAATGTTAAGGGAGCAGGAATTCAGATTAGAAGGCTGGACACCAACTCACAGAGTGTATCTAAAGAAGACGGACATTAGGGTGAAGACCCCCATCTTCCCACTTCTGATATTCCTTTCTTGGTAAAAGGTAGCGTTAGGCTGTGGGCCTCTGCCATTGGAAACGGTGGCTAAATGCAGAAGAACGGGAGCTGTTGTGGGGAAGTCAATGGCATATTTTAAGAGAGCGCCTTCCTTCCTCCCTTGGGAGCAGGGATGGCCTGGAAGACCCTCTGGAGGATACCGGCCTGGTGCAGCAGCAGCTGGACCAGCTGTCTACCATCGGGCGTTGTGAGTATGAGAAGACATGCGCACTCCTCGTGCAGTTGTTTGACCAGTCTGCCCAGTCCTATCAGGAGCTGCTGCAGAGTGCCAGCGCCAGCCCGATGGATATCGCGGTGCAGGAAGGTGAGTGGACAGTGCTGAGGCCTGAAAGGCGGGGCTGTCCGCACCCCTTCACTCACTGCCACCTCTCTTTCCTACCTGCCCTCCAAAAGGACTCTTCCATCATCCATCGCCTCCATCTACACAAAAGAATATTATGAATAAATGCCACAGGGCTAGGGAAGAGTAACTGAAATCGTGTCTACATGGATGTGTTTAACTTCAAGAAAGTGCTGGACTCTAAAAATAATGATCTTGTCTGATAGGGGATCATTGGTTATCTAATGAATTTCCCCCTCGGCATCACCCTTACCAGAGCAGGGTGATAGCTATACTTGGTAAGAAAAGTTAGACCTCATGGCTTTACCATAGTGTTCTTAAGATGACAGAAGCTCCTAGTAAGAAACGCACCTCACTGTGAGGAAATTTCTTCAATGAAATGACCACTGGAGAGGACACTAATAGGTCTTCTTCCTGTTGCAGGAAGGCTGACATGGCTGGTTTACATCATCGGCGCAGTGATCGGTGGCCGGGTTTCTTTTGCCAGCACTGATGAGCAAGATGCTATGGATGGCGAGCTCGTCTGTCGGTAGGTGCTCTCACAGAGGCTTTTCATTTCATTGCTTTGACCACCACCTGTTTGGGTCCCAACATCACAGAAACTTGGCATGCTTCTATGCTTTCCTCCCCGTTTATAGAATATAATCTCATGAAGCTGATTGCCCATGAAAATGAAGGACTGTTACAGGTCCAACTTCAGACATTTTATAAATACAGCAAAAATTCTACCTACAGTCTTTACTGAGAAAACACTTGCAGTAATTCAGCAAGGAAATGATGGATACAGAATTAGGAAAACCAGAGTAGGGAGTAGCTTTTAGTCTTAAGGACAGTATCTCAGAGTTAATGAAATGTAGACTGCTTTTGCCATAGCAGAATAAGACTAAGAGGAAAATACTGTTCTTCAGATATCCTCAAATATGAAATTAAAGAGTTTCTACAGCCTTTCAAATCTCTTGACATTTCAAATCTCTTGACATTTCAAATTTCTTTTCCACCTAGAGGATTTCAAGTTGTTATTTTATATCTATGTAATTCTCATCCATCTTTCTAAAAACCTATAAATGAATATTTAACAATTTCTAAAAATTCACCTAACATAGAAATATAAAAGGCAGGATTTTGGGGGTCCCTGGGTGGCTCAGTTGGGCGTCTGCTTTCAGCTCAGGTCATAATCTTGGGGTTCTGGAATCCAGCCCCGCATCAGGCTCAGTGGGTCTGCTTCTCCCTCTCCCTCTGCCCTTCCCCCCGACTTGTGTTCTCTCTCTCTCTCTCTCTCTCTCTCTCTCTCTCGCAAATGAAATCATTTAAAAAATAAAATAAACAGGTGCGCCTGGGTGCCTCAGTCAGTAAGCGTCTGCCTTCAGCTCAGGTCATGATCCCAGGGTCCTGGGATCGAGCCCCGTATCGGGCTCCCTGCCCGGCGGGAAGCCTCCTTCTCCCTCTCCTACTCCCCCTGCTTGTGTTCCCTCTCTCGCTGTGTTTCTCACTCTCTCTGTCAAATAAATCTTTAAAAAATAAAAATAAAATAAAAAGGCAGGATTTTTTAATACTCTGCCACAGAGGTTCTCAAACCTTTTCATCAGGACCATTCACCCTCTTAAAAAGTATTGAGGATCTCAAAGAGTTTCTGTTTATAAGACTAGCTATCAATATTTATTGTATTAAAAAATAAAACTGGGGGCGCCTGGGTGGCTCAGTCGTTAGGCGTCTGCCTTCGGCTCAGGTCATGATCCCAGGGTCCTGGGATCAAGCTCCGCATCGGGCTCCCCACTCGGCGGGAAGCCTGCTTCTCCCTCTCCCACTCCCCCTGCTTGTGTTCCCTCTCTCGCTGTATCTCTCTCTGTCAAATAAATAAAATCTTTAAAAATAAAAAAAATAATAAAAATAAAAATAAAAAATAAATAAATAAAAATAAAACTGGGCCTTCTGGCTGGCTCAACCAGTAGAGCATGCAACTCTTGATCTCGGTGTAGTGAGTTCGAGCCCCATATTGGGTGGAGAGATGACTTAAAAATAAAATCTTTTGTAAAAAAATTTAAAAACTGAGAAAATTTAAATTTATTCCCTTAAAAATAACAATAAGCCCCATTACATGTCAGCATAAGTAATGTTTTTTTAAATATTTTTCAAAAAAATTAATGAGGAAAGTGGCTTTGTTTTAATGTCTGGCCCAGAAGTCAGCTGGATTCTCTTACCCGCATCTGCACCCAGTCTGTCATGGTGTCACAGGTCCAGTAACCCCTGGACAACCCACTGTACCCTCCTGTCAGAATGCAAGTAGAAGGGCAGATCATGTTTCAGGATGGTGTGTGAACAGACTGCAGCCTTGGGGAAATGCCACCCTGAAGGGTTCTGAACTTTCAGATGCTCTCCTTAGAGATAAAAACATTTTAACATGATGCCTTAGAATAGATTGGTTCCTAGACATTTCAGTCCATAATTCTTATTCTGAAAATCCCCATTTTTCTCTTATCAGATGCCCATCTGCCCTTAGGTGCCTTAATCCTGACAAAAGTCTCCATGGCATGTCACACTGGCATTTTTTGAAGAGTTGAGCAAAGATTTGATAAGAATGAAAGCTAATAAGCTTTCTGATTTCAGCAGCCTGGTGTGATCCTGTGTGTGTGACATAAATTGAATTTAGAGAATGTCTTGTATCCTGGTTCTCACACTGAGCATTACAACATCATGCCTGAGTCTAATTCACTCATGATACGTCAAAATGATAGTTTACCTGTTCTCACATCATCAGAATAACAAATGACTCACTTGTAATAGCATTTTATTCATTCAATATTTACACACTTTCATTCCAGTATGCTTTCTTTTGCGGGGGGGAAGGTGCAGGGAAGAGGTAAAGGGATGAAGTCACGGGTAGCATATCTGCTCTTGGTCTCTGGAACTTTTATCTGCCCATGGACATTGCCCTTCATGTGTCCATTCCCTTCATGGCTCTGTGAGAAAAAAGATTGAGAACCACGGGCTTAGTCCAGTCTCCCTCATTTTATAGATGAGGAACTGGGACTTAGAAAATAAATTGCTTTACTTATGGTCTCACATAAGTTTCAAGGAAGACCATTACCCCAGTGCCAGTGTTTTCTTTTGTTTTGTTTTCCCACTATTTTTAAGCCAATTACTAGTTCTGCCTTAGTCTATAGTCTTGGTGGACTGAACTTTTAAACCTTCCAACCATCATTCATACTCATTCTTCAGCTGTGGTTCCTGTGGGGCAGAAATGGAGAATTCTGTTCTCTCAGCAGAGCATTGAGCCTGCAGAGAATGCCTTTCAGATAGGATGGGTAAGGAGAGGAGATACATAGGACTATTTGAGGGTAGGTTGGGTTTTCTAGAGTGACCAGGATATCCTGCTGTTGAGAGAATCATTGCTCTTCTTCCTCTAGGGTGCTCCAGCTGATGAACCTAACAGATTCTCGCCTGGCTCAAGCGGGTAATGAGAAGCTAGAATTGGCCATGCTGAGCTTTTTTGAACAGTTTCGTAAGATCTACATTGGGGACCAGGTGCAAAAATCCTCTAAGGTAACAGGATCTCAATTGGCTCCGCTTGGTTCTCACTTATGTAATTGCTGACTGAGAAACATCTGATAGCAGTTCAGACACAGATTTTAGTATTAGGATGGTCCAAATGTCTCTTCTTCATCCGTAGAATTTTGAGAGATTCATTAAAAAATTGGGTCCATTTCTGTAATGTTCCACGGGCTTAACAGATGGCCAGTCAGAACATCTGTTGGTTTCAACATTGGCAATTCTCAGCCTCTGTACATGAGTTGATGTTCAGAACAGCAGAACGTTTTGACAGTCTTTGTAATCTCAGGGTTGAAGGGGACTGATAAGATAGCTCAGCATCTTTCCAGTATCAAGTAATACTTAGAAACTAGCTTATTATCCCTTCAACAAAGACCTCCTCTACACTTTTGTCCATTTTCTTCCACATCTTACCCCTGAATAAGGACAAAAACAGTGTTGGGATGTGATTTTTCTAATCCATATTTTCTGATTACTTTCTCTTCCCTTAACACAACACCAGCTGTACCGCCGACTCTCAGAAGTTCTGGGCTTGAATGATGAGACTATGGTCCTAAGTGTCTTCATAGGAAAAATGTAAGTGTTTGGCTTGCCATCAGCAAGAGTCCCTTGCAATCCTGTTGCAACTGTAAAATGTGATCTTGGCATTATGCTGCCAGTGCCTTGGTATTCCAGCATTGATCGTTTGCGTCAGAAAATTGTGCATTTGAGTGTGTGACAAGCTGTGCTTAGAGATATGGCCCGGCCCCAGAGCATTCCAGGCTTGTACAGGCAAGGATTTAATTTGTTCATGTGGAATCTCATCTCTAGCTTCTGGAATCACCAGTGAAACCCTGTCATGGCATTAGCAAAATGGACATCTCTGCCCCAGTGATTGGTTCTCAGCCTCTCACCCAATCACCCTGCTGCCAAGGATGCCCAGAGTGGGCATTCACTTTCTGGTGCTGATTTCCACTAAGTGTGCCCCCCCTCAAGGAGGAGAGCCCCACTTTAAAACAGGCTTTTCCTCTCAAGAAGCATCCACACCCTTTGAGAGTCTTGAATCTGCAAAATCGAGTGCTATTTGAACTGTCTTCAAAGTTGGAGCTCCTAATTGGCCCTTTTTCGTTTGTTTTGTTTTTGTTTTTGTTTTTTAAGTTATGCCCCTTTGTTCACATTTTCCCCTTTTTAAGAGCTCAGTATCTCAAAGCACACACTAGGAGCCTAATATTTTACCCAGGGCTGTGTGCAAAGTGACATTTTGCCCCCTTCTAGCCATCCCAATCCTAAACACTCATATCCATGAGCTGGTTAATAATTTAAGATGCAAAAAACAAAGGGGGTCTAAAGGACTCTGCCAGCCAAGAACCCGGAAGCAAGGGCTACTAGAATTCTGCAGCTGACAGTGGATGGTGCAGGTGCAGAATTGCATACGTCTGCATGTTATCACTGCCGCAGAAATCTCTTACCCTTGCTGCAGAAATCAGCCCTGGAGTGCCCCAGAATTCCAAGGGCCTGGGTATGGGCCAGTGTAGCTTTGGAACCAAGTAGTGAAGATTATCTGAAGGATAATTTTTCTAGTCAACCAAATGTAAGTACGGAGATTTTATACCCATTTTTTGTGGTTGTGATGTCTGTGAATTGGTGATGCAGATGTGTGGTGACTCTTGATGGATGATTTTCTTCTTCTCCCAGCCCTCAAGGAAACCAGGCAAATCAAAAGTGTCTCCTGCTTTTTTTTTTCTTTTTGTCCTCCAGCATCACCAACCTGAAGTACTGGGGCCGCTGTGAACCGATCACCTCCAAGACACTACAGCTTCTCAATGACCTCTCCATTGGATATCCTTTTCTAAGTCAGCTTCTGTGCACAGCAGGAACTGTGGCTTGCCATGGTCTTAGAAATCATGACCTCCTGCTGTTTTCACTTTCATTTCGTTTTATATGTGCTCAAGTATCCTCCATTCTCCTAGGAGCCAAAGGCAGTACCCACACAGAATCCAGGGATAATTGCAGACTCCAAATATGAGCCATCCCACAAACCATTTCTACAGATTTATCCCTGGTTATCTCTAAGATCCAGAAATGCCCAGCAGATCTGTCCAATCAGTATATACTCTGTAGCCAATATTTTTACATCCTCAGTGATACAGAGTCCATCTTGATTGTTTGTCAGCCTTTTGGTAGAAGCAGCCTGATTACAAGCTCTGCAAGAAAAGTAGTGGCTATACTCCCTCTTGACTTTGACTTGGACCAAGTCTGCTATAAAGTTTGAATTGCTCTGAGACAGCCTTCCACAACCAGGGGTCTGCAGGAGACTAAACCCTATAAAAATGAGTGACTTTTTTTCTCAGTTATCCCAGAGATTGTACATAGCTAGTACCATTCTAAATGCATAGGAGAAAACTTAATTCACCACACACAACTGATGCCTCAGGCAGGGAATTAGGGCTTACTTCACTCTTAGAAGCCCCAGTGAGAAAAGCTACCCTAGGATATTCATGATTCTTGGGGGAAACTGCTGGGTTTTATCTCTTCTCTTACAGATGAGTTTGGTATGGGTATTCTGTCATTGATCAGTTAAATACTGCTTAGTAGAGAACACATCTTTTTTCCATTTGGCAGGTGTCATTTTCAAGTGTCTAAGGAAAATAAGATAATCTGGGTATGGAACTCATAGTCAGGAAAGAAACTGTACTTACTTTATCCTAGAAAGCTGCATTCTGCATTAAAGATTCCTCATTTGTACACACTTTCCTTGACCTTCTTTCTTTGTCTTCACATACAGTAGTGTAAGGAAACTAGTGAAGCTTAGTGCGGTACAGTTCATGCTGAACAATCACACGGTGAGTGATTTAGCACCTCTTCCTGGTTCTTTCCAGCCAGCCACACACACACTTCCTCAGCCATATAAAGGGGGTGTTTTCATTTGAGGTCCATAGTGCCCCCCAAGCCAGAGACTGCTCCCTGACTCCCTTCACACTGCCAGATCACACTTAACTGGCATCTGAGTTGTGATGATGGTGCCTACTGTTATTCATACGAAGATAAATTAGTTGTAGACAACAACAATAATCCAAAAAAAATTTTTTTAATCCCCCTCATACTCTTAAGAAGACGAGATAGCCATTAGCTTGAAAAGGCTCCATAATTCTGAAATTCCTGGCTTGCCTTCTGCCTGTGACCCATGTCTTTATCTTTTTAACTTGTCTTCTTTTTTTCAATAGAGCGAGCACTTTTCATTTCTGGGTATTAACAATCAGTCCAATCTGACAGACATGCGGTGTCGGACTACCTTCTACACAGCACTTGGGCGTCTCCTCATGGTGGATTTAGGTACTGCAATAAATCCTAGAGGCTCGTGCAGTAGTCTGGCACTGTGCTAAATTCTTACTTGAGCATAGAAAACTGGATGTTGGGGAGGTCTTTCCTGTTGTTTCAATAGTAAGAGAACTGTCTGAAATAACAGTCTGATTTCACCAAGAACACACCATGCTATCACGGTCCCTGTAACTGGAAGAGAACAGTATGTGCCAGAAGTTTCATCTGATGTGCAGTGGATTTAAAACCTATTCATATATCTCCTCTGCAAGTTAAGAGAATTGAGAATCCTAAATGCATCTTGTTGGCCAGATAACCCCTCCACCCCAAATGAAGGCGCAACCCACCTAAGACCATCAACAGAACCTTCCATGCCCCAGTTCACTAGCACATGTGAACCCACAGGGCTGAAGAACCTTTCTAGCTCTATTGTGATATTAGCAGTTTTGGGTCAACTAATGACTGAAACTCAATGCTGTCATCCTCATTTTGAGCTGTTTATGTTTAATCCTACTACATAACATTAAAAACCTAGCTTTATGGAAGATTAGTGAAAAGAGAAGTGTGAAGAGAGCCTCCACAAGCACCTGATTCAAGTATGAGTCTCATCAGGTTCTCATACACCAGACTCAGTCCTTTCTCAGCTGACTGTTAGTTCTCACTTAAGAAGTAAATAAAAACAAAGTATCTTGTACACATACAAACCTCTGGTATTGTGGCTCGGTGTCGGAAAAAAAATGTGGACGTCCCTGGACTGGATGATTTCTGCCTCTTCTAGTTTAAAAATTGATCTATTTACATTTCATTCTGAATTTACTACTAATACCTGTGGGGATTAAAGGGGCCCACTTGAATTATCCTTGGGTCTGCTCACCTTTCAAACCATCTTATTTTCCTTGCATACACAGCTTTGAGTTTTTTATATTGGAGTCACAGCCTGGGTTGTTTCCCTTACAGGAGAGGATGAAGATCAGTACGAGCAGTTCATGCTGCCACTCACAGCAGCGTTTGAGGCTGTGGCCCAGATGTTTAGCACTAACAGTTTCAACGAGCAAGAGGCAAAGGTGAGTCCTTCACCCACTGGCCAGCTTCTGCTTTCTGGCAACCCGACAGAGACTAGATTAGCTAGCACTGCAGAAAATAGTGCTCATCCATACATTTTCCACTGATTTCACTTTTTAGGTAATCTCTTGGACTCCTGGGATTTTGAAATAGAAGAACCAGTAGAGACATACAAAGTCTTATTTTTATGCCGAAGTGTGTTCTTAAGCAGCACTTAGAGGAGTTTTTGTCTACATTTTCAAATGTGGTAGCATAAAGTTGTATATTTTTCTATTACCTTTTTAATCTGTGTTGTATCTTCAGTTATGTTCCCCTTTCATTTTTAATACTGCTTATTAGTGTTTTCTCTCTTTTGATCTAGATCAGTCCTGCCAGAGATGTGTTTATTAGTCTTGGCAAAAATAAGTTGGGTTTTTTTTTGGCTTTATTTAAACTCTGTTTTCTGTGTTTTCTATTCTATTTCTACTCTTTATTTTCATATATTTTCCTTAGGGTTTCTCCGTTGTTCTAACTTCTTTTCAGCCCTCCTTCTTTCCTGATGTAATCATTTAAAACTATAAATGTCCCTCTAGGTATATTATTCCACACATTGGTTTTGGGTGTTTTTTGTTTTTGTTTTTTTAATTGTAAAAAAAAAAAAAACGTAATGTAAAATTTACCAGCTTGACCATTTTTAGGTGTACAGTTGAATAGCATTAAGTATACTAACATTGTTAATGCTCTAAGTCTTCAGAGTCTATAGTTTTTATATGTAACGTTTTCATTATCATTCAGTTTTTTGTATTATCTGATTTCCATTAAGATTCCTTCTTTGACAGGAGTCATTTAGAAGGCTTTGTGAATTTCCATATATATGGAATTTTAAAGTTACTTTTAGTTATTGATTTCTGGCTCTCAGAATTATCATTTCTTGATTTTTGCTCTCTTCATCTTCACACACACCTGCTTTCCTTATCTGTAGGTCTCTGCACCAAAACCAGAAGACACTAGGCTATTAATATTTGTAGGACTTTATTGCAGTGTCCATAATGACACTGAGGCTGAATTACAATCACCAGATACCAGGAGTATTGCCCCCAAAATGCCAGGCTTTACCTAATATTCTAAAATTCTGTTTTCATCCTTAGAAAGCCTCTTAGTTTTCTGTCTCCAAGTCATCAGGGAAGTCAGAGAGCAACACTACTTTGTCCAGCTCTCTCTCTTCTCTTTATACCAGTGTCTTGAGTTAGATACCATTCAAAGCTGAGGTTAGTGTGGAGCATGGCAGTAACTTGAGCTAGAATACCAGCCAATACCAAGGTTAACTGAGGGATATCAGTGAATAGCCGCCCTTTTCATCACTTTAGTTCCATACAAAGCAAGTAAAATTAATGAAAAGAACCATTTTGGCCATGAACTACAAGCATGATCCATGTCTTTGTTAAACTTCATGTAATAAGTCTTTTAGAGTGACCATGTCTTAGACTTGGAAACAGCTTATGTATCAGTTTAGGAACAGAACTTTGCTTAAAGCAGGCTGTTATGTTAGCAGAAGCGCAATCATTTTTGACAAGTGAATCAGGACACCCAAATGTGCCATGTCCTTGAGCCTGTTGATGACTGTTAGCTTTTCAAAGCAGTCTTACTGCTTTTCAAGGCCCGTAAGACAAGTAAAAGTTCTACTGAGAAAAAGCAGTGGATTTGGAGTCTTGATGGTATGAGTCTTAACCCTGGCTCTCTTACCACTTAGCAGCGTGACTCTGGGCATGGTATCTGACCTCTCAGGCTGCGATCTCTTCTATAAAAGCGTAACTTCACAGCTCCAAGACTTGACCCATCAGTCTTATTTCCAGGCACCCCAGCCAGAGGGGCAGGTAACCTGTAGGCTTCTTTGTCTTCTCCCAGCAGGGTCTGCATTTGATCTCCTGTGGCACCAGTGCCTTTGTAATTAGTTGTGGTACTGGACCTTTAGGATATATAGTCCTTCTGCCTCTTGTGTAAATGTTTGGCCTTTTTTTTTCTTTTTTTCTAACTCTTCTTGAATCCAGCTTTTTTGCTTTTCTGCTTTTTACAAATATGAATTATCACATTAGTGTCTTAAAACTTTATCAACCTCTTGTTTTGCTGTGATGGACCAGGAATCATTGCTTTTTCTTAGTATATAACAAGCTTCCAAAACTAATTATCCAAGTGAAAAAGATCCCATCCTAGTATGGAAGAGATCAGTTCAGAATGTCTGGGAAGGAGTATTTGTTGAATGATAGAAGAATTTGATTACACATTTGTGACATCCCCATCAAGTAGTTATATGTTTGGTTTTTCTTCTATTTTAATATATTTTTGCCTTCTACTACAGCGAACTCTGGTTGGTCTCGTAAGAGACCTGAGAGGGATAGCTTTCGCCTTCAATGCCAAGACCAGCTTCATGATGCTGTTTGAGTGGATGTATCCTAATACAGATCGGGAAGGCTTGCCACTGAAAGCCTTAACTGGAGTGTGGATGGGCAGTGGAGGCATCAGGGAAGGGAGAGGGGGAGGATTAGGGAGGCAACGAAGGCAAGGACTTGTGCCCAAAGACCTGCCCTGTGTCTCGTAAGCTGCCGTTCCACGGTGGCCTAATAGCAGAGGGCTGCCTGCTCAGGTCAGAGAGACGGGGAAGTGAGTGCAGTCGTTTCCCACGTTCTCTTCTGGGTCCCAGATGCAAATGCCTGTGGAAATGCTGCACATGAAGTTTGCTACAGTCAGAAAAAAGAGACGTTTCAATCTACTAAAATAAGACAGCTTTCCTAGGAATGAGAAAGTCTAACCTTGTTGAATTCATAACCTTGAACAAATCCTTTCAAAGCTGAGTGCCTCTGTTTCTCCAATAGTTATATAACAGAAATAGCTTATTTCCTATCATGTCATAGAAGGGAAAAGAAGATAAATTAACAATGAGATACATTATTCTCTTCAGAACAAAGTCATTATGTAAATGACAGTGCATTATTATATGCTTATTACAATTCCAGGAGCGCACAGTCACCTTAGCACCTTCGGGTTAAAAGACTGCAAGATTAGCAAGCAGAAGACAGGCAGTTGGAGAACTTTCATTTGACAGTTTGTGCTTGGCCAATGCGGAGAGATTACTTTCAATTCTGTACCTTTCTGGATTTAGAATTCTTCCTTAGCTTTTCATGTACAGATATCCATCCTACATGCCAATTCTCCAGCGGGCAATTGAGCTCTGGTACCATGATCCAGCTTGTACCACTCCTGTGCTCAAGCTGATGGCTGAGTTAGTTCATAACAGGTAAGCTGGACGAAGATTTTCAAAGGACACAACTGCCCTTTTATATGAGAGAATTCTGGGACGATAGATTTTAGCTCGTGTTTGGTCAGATTGTGGAAGATAATAACATTTCACTGCTTTCAGAATTTGAAAAACGTCTCTAAAAGTTAATGTGTATATATATGTTTCGGTTTGTTTGGAAGAAGGGTGTCCCAGCCACACAAAGTCATAGCTGCTTGCAGGAAATAAGTCACTTTGGAAAGAGTCTCAAGATAACCCATTCTTGGGCGCCTGGGTGGCTCAGTTGGTTAAGCGACTGCCTTCGGCTCAGGTCATGATCCTGGAGTCCCGGGATCGAGTCCTGCATCGGGCTCCCTGCTCGACGGGGAGTCTGCTTCTCCCTCTGACCCTCCTACCTCTCATGCTCTCTGTCTCTCATTCTCTCGGTCTCAAATAAATAAATAAAATCTTTAAAAAAAAAAAAAGATAACCCATTCTTGGGACGTCTGGGTGGCTCACTCTGTTAAGTATCTGCCTTTCGCTCCTCAGGTCATGGTCCCAGGGTCCTGGGATCAAGTCCTGCATCGTGCTCCTTGCTCAGCGGGGGAGCCTGCTTCCCCCTCTGCCTGTAGCTTCCCCTGCTTGTGCTCTCTCTCTCCCCCTCTCTCTCTGTGACGAATAAATAAAATCTTTAAAAAAAAAAAAAAAAAGATAACCGATTCTTACGAGAGGTGAATCTGGCAACCAGTATTCTGACTTTCCTGCCCACATATAAAAGTTAACATTTAGTAATGGTGTCATGTCCACCACATTTCAAAGTTCACATTTCAGAGAGGCAATTGAGAGTAATGCCAGACGCATTAGGATACCCTGTTTTAAGAAAGGTGTCTGTTCGGCAAACTGCAGCTGGATGGGTAAAGACTTACTTAAGAAGAAAGTAAGACAGACTTCCAAAATACTAAATTTTAAATTTACCCAAGAATTCAGGGATGGAGGAAAATAAAAATCCACCCCCTTGACTTCACTAGAATTTCGGGTCCGTGTATCTGCCTCTCATGGCACTTCTAAGAGAATTAATTTTTAAAACTACTTTAGTGAGGGGTGGGTAATACTCAAAGAGCCGATAGCCTCCCGGGAGCCTCACAGTCAAGAGTTATTCATTTCCAGAATAGATATTTGAGAGCGTCTACTCTTTGCCAGCCACTTTCCTAGCCGTTGTGCCAGACAAAACCTCTCCCCTCTTAGATGTTACATTCTGGGAGAACAAACAGTAAAACAAGCATGGAAAATGATTTCAAACAGTAGGAAGTGCTATGAAGAAAAAAGTTAATAAAACAGGGGAATTGAAGGAGAGGAGGGAGAATCGACCTCTCAGAGAAGGTGATGTTTAAGCTGGGATCTGAATGACAAGAGAGATTCTGGTAGCCCTGCAAAAATAAGGGGAAAGAGTGATCTAAACTGTGAAAACTGCAAAAGTCCTAAGATGGGATGAGTCCTAAGACTGGAGACAGAAAAACGCCACAGGCTGGAGCTTGGTGAATGAGGGAGGCCGTGGGAGGGGAGGGCTCAGACAGGCAGGCCGAGGCCCAGCCCTGTAGTGACTTAGTCCAGCAGGAGTGAGGAAGGCACGCACACTCTAATGCCAGTGGGAAGCTGCTGAAGTATTTGAAGCACGGGATTAAAATGACCTTGTTGACATTATTACCATGTGAAGAAGGGGACTGTAGAGGGGCAAGAGTGGAAGCAGAAGAACATACAGGAAGTGGATAGATTCAGGGCATGTTGTAGAGCTAGACCTTGATGGATCCAATGTGGGGAGGAAAGGAAAGAAGAATCAAGAAGGACCCCTGGGGGTTTGAGGCTTTAACCAACCAGAGTCAATAAAAAGACCAACTAGCAGCTCATTAAAAGGTGGCGCAAACCAAAGAGGTGCTCTGGTCCAGGGAACAGTCAGGAACTCAGAACTCAAGTTGTTTCAAACGCTTGCCTCACCTACTTTTCTCTAGTAGCAGTCCCAGTCCCTTCACCTCTTTTCTTCTTATCAAGTGGTAACAACGTTTGTACCCTCCCTTAGTTGCCACCGAAGCTATAAAGGTAAACATAGGTTAATGTCTGAAGGGTCGTGATTTAGTCCTTCTAAGAAATGACTCACAGAAGCCATACTTTAATCAAAATGGAGAATTTTAAGAAAGTAGTTTCATCTGCTGCCTCACTTTTCTTTTCAGTGTTTTCAATTTGAGAAGCAGAACTTGAGTCTAGCATGTCAGTCTTCAAGATAGAAGCTCTGTCACTAGTTAAATATCTTTAACTTGGTTACTCTACATTAGGATAGGTAATCTGCACATCTTAGTGCAAAAAGAATCACCCAGGGTACTCAGATGAGAGCCTGAAGTTCCCCAGTCTTCCAGTAGCATACCTCTGACTTTCTCTGCCTCTGTGTTCTCTGCTCAGATCCCAGCGACTCCAATTTGATGTCTCTTCCCCCAATGGCATCTTACTCTTCAGAGAAACCAGCAAGATGATAACAATGTATGGTACGTGCTTTAGAGGAGCAGAACCTTGAGGGTGATTTCCAACTCAGTCACCACACTGTATGCAGTGTAGACTAGCCCTGGCAAGAGCCAGGACAGTATGACAGGGCCCCTGGCACCAAGGGCCTTTCGAATAGGAGGGTTGAGTTGGTGACCTAAACTGTCAGTAATAATGTGGTTGAATAAATTGTATATATCACGTCTGTCTACTCAGGCAATCGCATCCTGACACTAGGAGAGGTCCCAAAGGATCAGGTCTATGCACTGAAGCTCAAGGGCATCTCCATCTGCTTCTCCATGCTGAAGGCAGCCCTCAGTGGGAGCTACGTCAATTTTGGAGTCTTCCGTCTCTATGGAGATGATGCCCTGGACAATGCTCTACAGACCTTTATCAAGCTGCTCCTCTCTATTCCCCACAGTGACCTCCTGGTAAGTGTTAAGCTTTATTGACAGGATCCGAGCCCCTCATCATATTCAGGTGTTTTTGGTTGTTTTGGGGTTTGGGTTTTTTTGTTATTTTGCCTGACACTATGATTGAATGTTTCTCTGGAGAACTATAAGCTAACTCCAGTTAGCTCTTTTGTCTTCCCATCTGAAGGGAACTGAGCTGTTTCATTTAAGATCTTACTCCCTGTTGGGGTGCCTGGGTGGTGCAGTCAGTTGAGCGTCCAACCGTTGGTTTCAGCTCAGGCCCTGATCTCAGGGTCATGAGATTGAGCCCCACGTTGGGCTCTGTGCTCAGCGGGGAGTCTGCTTGAGATTCTATCTCCCTCTCCCTCTGTCCCTCCCGCTTATGCTCTCTCTCTCGAATAAATAAATCTTTAAAAAAAAAAAAAAAAAGGTCTTGCTTCCTGCATATTGAGGTACACCATGCCTAAGTTGATTTCTGTCCTCTTCTCCCACAGGACTATCCCAAGCTCAGCCAGTCTTACTATTCACTACTGGAAGTCCTGACCCAGGACCACATGAACTTTATTGCAAGCCTGGAACCTCATGTCATCATGTATATTCTCTCTTCCATTTCTGAAGGACTTACTGCACTTGGTGAGCACATGGATTGTTTGGTTTTTACCACTTAACAGAAAGGGAGAACTTTGCCCCAGTATCTGAAAGTGTTACTGCTTTGGGGTATATGTATGACTCATGGATACATTCTCATCCAGAAATACTTATCGACCCTATCCTGAGGACCAAGCACTGTGCTAGGCACTAGGGGTACAGTAAGTATTAATAACCACAGTCCCTGTCCTTTAGGAGCTTTTTATCTGGTAGATGAAACAGACATGTAGACCAGTGCCTATTTACTGCACTTACCTACTTCCGCACCACAGTGGGGGTGAGGAGGGAGTGCTGTGAGAGCTATCAGGAAGAATACCTAAACTTCTGGTGTTGAGAAGTGGGGTCAGACAAGGCTGGCCAAAAGCACTGATAAAAAACCATGGGCCAAAAAGCTGCACAGGCGTTAGCAGGTTAGTGGGGAGGCTTCCTAGCAGCAGGAACAGCAAGTACCAGCAGCTGCAGGCAAGAGAGAGTCAGGAAATCCAGATGCCCAGCACACTGGTGCAGAGAAGCCAGAGAGGAGTGGGCGGGGCAAAGCCGGAGACCACGCAGGGGCCCTCATGCGCATCAGGGTGTTGGATTCTTTTTTTTTTTTTTTTTAAAGATTTTATTTATTTGAGAGATAGAGAATGAGAGAGCACATGAGAGGGGGGAAGGTCAGAGGGAGAAGCAGACTCCCCACTGAGCAGGGAGCCCGATGCGGGACTCAATCCCGGGACTCCAGGATCATGACCTGAGCCATAGGCAGTCGCTTAACCAACTGAGCCACCCAGGCACCCAGGGTATTGGATTCTAACCTGAGGACAGTGGAGGCTATGGAAGGCACTCACACAGACAGCTCCACAGGTTTTTCATCCTACTCCACCTGGTTCCTTGTCAGCCCTTTTGTTCCTAGGCTACCATCAAGCAGTCTCAGTAGGTATGCATGTATTCAGAGAAAGAATACATTTTTTTATATTAGGCTGAGCAAAACAAATAGGAAGATTAAGTCACCTGTAAGATAATCACGATATATTGCAAGTGCACATAGAATGACTTTTGGATTGCCTGCTGTGGTGAATTACACCTCCATGCCCCTTCTTCCATAGGCATTTACTTCCAGCAGGTGCAGAGCCATACCTAGGACATCCAGCGAAGGGCTCCGACCCTGCTCTGGAAGGCTATTTTATAGCTTCTTGAAAATCGAGGGACCTCTGCATAAACAGAAACAGAAGGGCTGACTCTTTTAAGGGTTCATCCCTTAGTCCTCTGGCCTGTGCCTCACCTCGTCAGAGCTCTGTCCACAAGCCGTGCCACAGCATCCCCTTTGTAAAATGCGTAGATGAGTCGCAGCTTCCCCTCCCAACCCTTGCCCACCACACTCCCCGCAAAATGCTTCATAGATAAAGAATACGGTACCTCTAACAGACTCTAAATGTTGATAGACGGTATGAAGCTGGGTTTAATGACCTCCCCCCAGTAACTCAGACTTCTTGGATTCTCATCACAGCTTGTGCAGTTATTAGCAGTGTGATCTGGAGGCGAGTCACATAACCTCTTCAGACTTTGGTTTGTTAAAATGGAACAACTACCTCCCGGAATTCTCAAGAGGGTAAATTAGAGATAATACCTATGAAGTCTTTAGCAGAATATCTGGCACAGTAGAAGTACCTGCTGTATGTAAAGTATTCGTTATTTTTTATGAAGCAGAAGACATGCATCTGCACCACATTAAGCAGTAATATCGATATTAATTAATATATTGTCTATTACCACACACTCACTTTCAAACTTAGAATTGGGCCTTGCTATATGATGAGGGTGAGAGGTCAACAGAAAGTACCCAAACACAGGCCTTAACTGAGCTGGGGACAGTTCCCAGTCTGCTGGGGTACCTCTACCTCTACCTCTACAGGCTCTCAGCTAAGGGCAACCCCTTGGCTGCCCACATCACCATCAGCAGCTCCATACCCCGGCTCTAATCCACCCCTCCCTCTTTCTTCCAGACACCATGGTATGCACAGGCTGCTGCTCTTGCCTGGACCACATCGTGACATACCTCTTTAAGCAGCTGTCACGGAGCACCAAGAAGAGGACGACACCCCTGAACCAGGAGAGTGACCGCTTTCTGCATATCATGCAGCAGCATCCAGAGATGATCCAGCAGGTAAGGAACGTGAGCTTTAGGAGGCAGTGTGGGGTGTCCGGCAGTGGAAGAACCTCTGAGAGGAGAGGCCAAGCAAAATGGGGAGGCTGGCATCTCACCAGCCTCATGCTGCCGAAGTGAAGTGTATGCCTTAAAATTGCAGTGGATTTTGAGTTTGCTGAGTAATCATCAGATATTAAAAAAATCTGGGAAGAAAAACAGGTTCTGAATCGTTTTTCCGAGCGTCACACCAGCCCCTATGCCTCGGACCTGTGCTCCTTCCACGATGACGACTGTGGCCACCCGTTGCCATAAACGGAGCCTGAGTTAGCAGTTGCCAGCTGTAAGGCTTGTACTCCCATCTGCAGAGTGGCCACAAGAGTACGGGATAAAAGGAAATAACTGACCACACAGATCAAACCATATGTTTGCCATTGCTTTATTTGTATGAGGCATCTTTCCAGAAGGAAGATTTGCCTTGGGTAGCTTACACACTAGATCACTGCCTCAGATGCTCCATTTCCAGATGCTGTCAACGGTGCTGAATATCATCATCTTTGAAGACTGTAGGAACCAGTGGTCAATGTCCCGGCCCCTACTTGGCTTGATACTACTTAACGAAAAGGTAAGAGAGCCATCTCCCTGGTGCTCAGAGCCAGAAGCATGGGTAGACACATGTTTGGCTATAGGAGAAAGGCTATAGGAACACCCCACGATGGTGAAGCCGAGGGAAAACAGCTCATTTTCTGAGCATGTACTGTTCATGCTTTGAACAGTACATAATCACTGAACTGTTAGAAGTCAGCATGTGTGGCAATTCAGACAAAGGATGAGGAAGTGTTACTAGAAGAGAATATACCTGGAGAGCAGACCACCAATGACCTAAATTCTAGTTCCAGCTCCACCATAAACAAACATAAGTCTAGAGAGTCCTGTAAAAGAACCTGGATCAGGGGCACCTGGCTGGCTCAGCTGGTAGAGCAAGTGACTCTTGATCTCGGGGTTGGGGGTTCAAGCCCCACACTGGGTATAGAGATTACTTAAAAATAAAATCCTTTAAAAAAAAAATAGAACCTGGATCAGATGACCCTTAGAGTGTTTACAAATTTAAAACTCTGACTTTTAAGTAAGATAAAGATACATTATCTTGCAGCAAATACTTACTTGAATCAAAAAAGGTACCCCATTTTGGTAGATAATTCTGTGTTTTGGAGAACATCCCTTCAACCTTGCAGATGAGGGAGGGCTAATCCCTATCTCCTCTCCTTACCCTGTCTCACTCCTTGCCCCACAGTATTTTTCTGACCTAAGGAACAGTATCGTGAACAGCCAGCCACCAGAGAAGCAGCAGGCTATGCATCTGTGTTTCGAAAACCTGATGGAAGGCATCGAGCGAAATCTTCTTACGAAAAACAGAGACAGGTGAGTGTAGGGGGCCCTGCAGAGAAGTCCTAGGCAATTTCTCAAGTCATCGAAACAGGGGAGACTCCTTAAGAGTCTTTTTTTTTTTTTTTTTTTTTAAGATTTTATGTATCTATTTGACAGAGAGAGACACAGCGAGAGAGGGAACACAAGCAGGGGGAGTGGGAGACGTTGAGAAGCAGGCTCCCCGCTTCGCTGCCAGAACCTTAAGAGTCTTTTAGAGAAGGGCGCCTGGGTGGCTCAGTCGTTAAGCGTCTGCCTTTGGCTCAGGTCATGATCCCAGGGTCCTGGGATCGAGCCCCGCATTGGGCTCCCCGCTCCGCGGGAGGCCTGCTTCTCCCTCTCCCACTCCCCCTGCTTGTGTTCCCTCTCTCGCTGTGTCTCTCTCTGTCAAATAGATACATAAAATCTTGAAGAAAAAAAAAAAAGTCTTTTAGAGACCACCTTAAAGCAGTGCTGTCCAGTAGAAAAGCAGGCCACATACGTAACTTTGAACTTTTTAGTAGCCACATTAAAAAAAGGTAAAAAGAAACAGACAAAATTCCTTTTAATACATTGTATTTAACATATGCAGATTATCATGTCAATGTGTAATCCATACTTAAAAACTGAGAATTTTAACATTCTTTTTATTGTACGAAGTCTTCAGGGTCCTGTGTATTGTACACTTAGCAGGGCATCTCAAGTCAGATGCTAAATATTCATTTGAATTACTTGATTTGTATTAAGATTTCATAAAATTTACAGTTGACAAAGTAGATTCCCATATTCAGGTATACCAGACATACTTAGAAGTTGTCTAGTTGTCAATTGAATATCAGGCTTTTCTGAATTAATGCTTAAATTTTATTTTTTTTAATTAATTTGAAAAATGGTATTTTCGTTTAAAATTAATTAAGGTACAGTCGGGGAACTGAATTTTAACTTTCATCTGATTTGCTTCGGTTCTTCAGCTGAACTGGGCACACTTCAAGTGCTCAGTAGCCCTGTGTGGCGAGCGGCTGCCGTACTGGACAGCAGCACGGTGCTTTAGCACAAGTGTCCGGCATTAAGCACTGAGTGAGAGGCTCGTTCTCTTCAGGCCCTCACTTTGGGAGGGTTACTTCCCACCTCTGTCAGATCCCTTTTGTGCTGCCGTGAGCCCAAGGTGGCCCTCAAAGCCCCAGATTTGACCAGATCTCAAGATCTGCCGCAAGGTTGTCAGGTTGAAAGGGTTGCAAAACTAGCCCAGCTTCCCCTTAAGGTCTGAAGACTGAGGTTAACTGACCTTAGAAACAGATGCATACGTTCTGCCTCTCAGTAGCCGCTTCGCTGCCAGAAATGTCTTAGTCCAAGACCTTTCCCCTCCACCCTCCTCCCCCAACCTACATGCATCCCCTCTGCAGGTTCACCCAGAACCTGTCGGCATTTCGTCGAGAAGTCAACGACTCGATGAAGAATTCCACTTATGGCGTGAATAGCAATGATATGATGAGCTGACACCTCCTTGGACTCTACCTGTACAGAGCAGCGCCCTTTGGTCTGGCCCAGAGGGGCAAACAATTACAAGGGAGAGGGCCTGGCTGACCCTGGCTCCCTCCTCCAGGGGTATGGGGAAAATGGCAGAGTCACCTGGCTACTTCCCCAGGGAATAGGGGTGTGAGTGCACTCACTAGGGGGCAGGGCGCTGCTGGTTCCTGGGGGTTGGGTGGGAAGGGTGGTGGGAGGAGATAGAGACACAAATGTGTGAGACTCCAGCCCCTCCTCCTGGGGCCACCCCAGGGGGCGGGGGGGGGAATCCCCAGTGTCCTGCCACAACCTGCCTTGTATAAACATGTACATTTTTTCATAACATTTTGAACAAGGTTTATATTGACTCAAGTTTAAAAACAAAAAGTGTGACTGAAAAATTTTTACAGAGTCTAGTGCACCAATGCTGATGTGAGGGGTTGTGTATGCGAGTGAGGAAAAAATGTGTATTCTGGTGGCCTGAAGCTTTACTGGACGAGGATGTGTGAACGTGCAGAGATATATTTAGTGACACAGTGTAGAGAGGCAAAAAAAAAAAAAGTAAAAATTCCAAATGTATATTTTTTCTTATTGCCCTTTCCTTGCCCCCAAAATTATCACTTCCTGTTACTGTATTACCCTTGTTATTAGGAACTCTAAGCCATGTGGAGCACCATCCTTCCCCTTCAACCATAGATGCTGCCCTAGGTCCCTCGGCCTCTTGCAGTAACAGACAACTCCAGCTAAAAGTGTTTGGTGTTCTAGCTTCATCCTTTTTCCCACTTTGCTTATCCTCATCCTCAGACAGATGCCTCTTGCTTTTACAAGTCAGATGTAATTCTATGATTTAGGGTTCTCGGTCTCTGTAAAGGTAGAGACCAGAGAGAAGGAATTGAGCCAGCTGCTCTCCTGGTGAGCGATTTGGATGAGTCCACCAGAGGCCCAGTTGCGTGGCCCGTAACTTTGAGTCTTCCCCAGCCCTTGAGGCAGTGTGTGTGGATGTGTGCGCATGGATATTTATATATGTACCCTGCACTCGTGAATGTATGAACTGGAGGAAGTTACTACAGTGGAGGGGTTCTTAATAACAAGGTCTGCCTAGCATGAAGTATTTAACAATCTCCCACCCCTTTAAAAATATACATTTTTATAAAATGAAAACCATAATAAATGTTTTGAATATTAAAAAAAAATTAACCTACAGAAGAAAATTAATGGAGAAAGCTATTTGCCTTGTACTTTTTCCACAATTGCTGCCGCTAGTTGTACGCATCTCTAGTTCAGCTCTTGCCCATGGGACACTCATCATCAATTAGGTTTTATCTTTATTTCTCTCCTCTGCCCCTAAAAACAAGCCTGTTAATTTTTTTTTTCCTTCTCCTCTGGCGACTGTGTGGTGAATCCTTTCTTGCGTGATCAGGTTGCGGATAGACTTGTAAGGGTGTTTGCTGCATACAGTGTAAGCATTGTGACCGCCAATAAACTTCAATGGTTTCTACTGACCTGGCTTCAGCAATCAAGTCTAGTGTGTCTATAGGGACATGTCTCACTCTAAACACACAAAGATGTTTGAAACATGCATTCGTAAAAGCCAGTGGATGACAGGTGCCTCTCGCCCTTGTAAAATTAGCTTCTCATTCAACTAAGTCTGACTCGATTTCTTTTACAAATATGATTGTTTTAGTTGAGACAGATCTATACAGATAGATATACAGTGCTGCTGGCCACAGGTAGAAAGGTGAAGCCACTGGGCTGCCTCTTCTAGGTAATAACATGGCAACCAGCAGAGAAGTAATAATTGCAGAAAGCCCAGTTTTGTTAATGTTCCTTTTTTTTTTTTAAGATTTATTTATTTAAGAGAGAGCACACAGGTGAGCAGGGGGAGGGGCCAGAAAAGAGGGAGATAAGCAGACTCCCCACTGAGCGGGCATTGTGACGTGGGGCTCCATCCCAGGACCCTGAGATCATGAACTGAGCCAAAATCAAGAGTCTGACGCTCAAATGACTGAGCCACCCCAGCGCCCCTTTGTTCATTTTCTGACCTCTGCCCTCTTACGAGGGCTGGGCTTCACTCGTGAGACCCTGACAAGCTCAAGGATAAGTTCTCTCCCTTGCACCACTTTGCAGGCCTCATGGGCCAGAATTCTCAAATGAAGAACACTATAGTTAATGAGGACTATTTGTCATCCCCATACTATGTAGTACCTAGACATAAGAGAACTTAATTGCCAGGAACATTGTATCTGTGTCTGTATCTTAATGTAGATTTATATCCAGTGAATCACAGGCTCTAGAGTGCTACTTAAAAAAAAAAAAAAAAAAAAAGATTTATTCACCTTAGAGTGTGCACAAGTGGGGGAAGGGGCAGAGGGAGAGAAACTTCCAGCAGACTCCCTGCTGAACTCGCATGAGATCACAACCTGAGCCAAAACCAGGAGTCAGCACTCAACGGACTGAGCTACCAAGGAGCCCCTAGATGCCTCTCTTGCCCACCTTATCTAGATATCCTGATACCTTTTCTTTGCTGTTTCAGTGTCCTGCGGACTATCTTGATCCTAAGTTATTTTGAAGGCAAACATTTGTATTCTCAGGGCTAGAAGGCAAGTAGAATTGATTCATCTTAGCCAAGTCTGTCTTTAAGCCTAAGAGAAATATAAAATGGTCAGGCTTCATTAATAGGCAAAGCACTCCAGTCACATGCCCCAGTGACCTGGAATTCTAATTCTGTAGTAAATAAGATAAAATTGTAAACAACTTTCTCACGGGTACTTGAAGAACCCCTCTCCCCCCAACTATCTTGAGATGCTGCTTGATCAGCAAAACCCCAGGCCCCTCCTTTCCCTTACACAAAAAAAAAATTTCAGAGGCAAGAAACTCACCATAGATGGTGGCCTCCTCGTTGCAACCCTAAGTGCAGTCCAGTCATGACAAACCACCATAGTTAAAATCTTCCACAACCACATCAAACTTTTTAAACAGTGAAGGTGTTCCTTTCTTGGCAGTTAAAAGAAGGGGCACCCAAAAAACAGCCAAGTAGGAAAATTTTTTCTGGTCAAATTATCAGCAATGTAACATGATCCATCCTTTAAAAAACCAGTTATCTTTAAACATTGGTTTCTGCCAAGAAGTCATGTGGAGGTTTTATTCAGTTAAAACATGAGTTTATTAGTTTCTAGGCTATCCTGGGCACTATGGTTATCAAGTCAAGTGTCTTTACACAGTGTTTCCTGACACAGACTGTACCTTACACGTTGACAAAACACCTGAAGTCTTTGTGGCAGATTACTAAATTGTATTATGGATGTACGTGTTTTTTTGTTGACTCTGCCCAAATAAGGGTTATTTATTCCCAGTAAAGTATAAATCAGAGGAAGAAGAATTTGGCCAAGGGTCAAATTTTTACATTTTTAGATTTTAAGAAGTAATGACTTTCACCCAATTGTTAATTTTCTAATGACAAGTGACAACCTACTAAGAAATAAGAGTTTTATATTCTGCAAACATGAACTTTTCTTAAGAACTTGTGTTCTTTTTTTCCACCCAAGTGGAAAAATGTTCTAGCACCTTATGAAATTTCAACCACGTGCAGACACAGACCACCTTCCAAAAATATTCACGGTCATGAGGTAAGAGGAATTGAGTGTAGAGAGCCAAAGCACCTCTCTGTATCCTATTTGCCACCAGCCAGCCCTCCCCCCACCCAAGATTTTTGGCTAGATCTACAAACACACCTAAGTTGTTTTCTAATGCGCCAAAGTGCCAAAGCAAAAAAGAAAAGCAAAGATAATTACAGGGAACCTGCAAAAGCCATAAGTCTGATAATAAGGCCTTGAAAAATGTAAATGGTTGTGACTTTTAAAGTCCTACTTTAGATATTTCAAAAAAAAAATTGAAAGGATAAAAATGTACATACCAACCATAATTAATACAACTGCCAATTAAGTGCTAGGTAATGTCTTAGGTCTTAGAATTCTTGCCTCTTGTACTTTTCTCCTGGGTCCATTACATCTATTTTGCATTTTTTAGATCCCCTGGAATTCACTGGTCAGCCACTTTGGTGTATTTCAGGAGCAGTGGGTCAACTAAACAAATCAGCTGCCAGACAATGGGACATCGTAGGAGTAGAATGGAGGATGGGATCAAGCTTAGACTATTATCCCCCTTCCCCAAAAAACCCTTATGGTCTTCACGGCAGCCTGACTGCTGCTGTCTGTTCATTCATCAAATACTTAGTATCCACTTCAGGACAAATACCTTTTTGATGGTCAGCAACAGAAAAGGAAACTCACAAGCAAAAAACATCGGCAAGGCAAATTCATTTCCACTCTTCGGCATAAAATCCCTCAACAGTACAAACTGACTCCAAAACATAGTGAACAGTACTTAAAACACTTACACAAGCACCATACAATTATATTTTTAACTGATAATCATGAAGACAGACTTCATAATAGACTTAAGCATACAGCATCACCTAATGGGCCAAACCACCCCATTATCAGTTACAAAAGACTGAAGAGTGACCAGTGGGGAATCTCCTAACCCTTGCTACTGGGTAACAAATTAAGTCCAGGCATGTCTGAATTCAAGGTTTGAAGGACAACCAAACTCAGGAAAAAAAACTGACTCCTTATCTGAAGCTCAGAGGGGCCACTATACAGAGTCTGATATTGTAAAAGGGTGGGCGAATTTAAGAGTAGTATTCTCAAAGCCAGAAAACCCAAGCTCTCCTCAGCTCTTAAAGACTCATTATACTGTGCAATGAAGGTAAAGCAAACTCTAGAAGCTGAACTAACTCAACTGGAAAATCAATGAAAATGAAACCACTTTTAAGAGTATAGCAGACCATTATCGTTTTTATTTATCAGAAAGCCCATGCCCCACCCTTTAACACCTGGCAGTCTGGGATAGGTGCCACAAAGCAAATCAAGTTACCAACTTTGCCAACCAGACTACAAACGTGCAGCAGAGCCCTTCCATTCAACTACACATCTGCCACTGCCATCTCTGCCTCCACATCCTACCTCGTCTTTCCCCCGTCTGCACAACCATCTCTTCTCAGTCTAAATTTCCATGCCCTTTGCCCATCTACCCTTTTAAAGACCCAAAGTAGAACCCCATTCCCTCTCTGAAGTCGCTCCCTATTGTCCCTGTCCCGAGTCTTACAGCCTACTCGGGTTTATTTGAGATACTCCTAATCCTCACTCTCCCCGCCTCAACAACCAAAATGTGCTCCTTACGAGCGGGGACCAGATGGTAAGGGGACCGTGAAGAGAAAGTAGTTGGACTAATTTGGGTGAAGGCCCAGCGGACAGGGCCCCCGGCTGCCTGGTGTGGGCGAGCTAAACGCAAACGTCGCCACAAGCCTCTGCTGAAAGGAAAAGAGCAGAAGCTGCTGACAGCTCCCTGATCTCGCGAAGGAAAACGGTAGAGTTCACTCCCGACCCCCCACTTCTGCCGCCAACAAACCGCCGCGCCCCGGAAAAGGTTCCGCGCGTTCCTTCCGTCCCCGTCGCGTCTGCGCACGTAGGTCCTCTCTGCCGGCGCGTCTCCTCGGCGCCACCGTTCGCTCCGCCTCCGCTGCCCTGCGCAAGCGCAGTCGTGACTCCTGACTGCGTTCTCGAGCCCTGGGCGCCGGGGCTGGAGGGATCGTTCTTGGGGAAGGTGGAGTTGGGCTACGGCGGCCCCTGGACCCCCACCCAGCCGTGTGCCCGGTAGGGGTTCGAGTTCACGCGTGCCATGGCCTCACACCCAGTGTCCGCGGTAGTAATCATAGAGGCACTGTTCAAGGACTTGGTCCCTGGCTGGGAAGGACTCTGGAGTGGGCAAACGGGCTGAAAAGGATGATCGTTGGCGGCTCAGTATACCCTGGGAGTGCGAAAGAGGGCCTCCTCCTTCCCCCACGTCGAGCCCTAGCAGAACGAGTCATTAGGAAGAAGGCAGGGAAGAACACTCACAGTGCAAAAACACCGAAGCATGAAACCTTGTACCTTTCTAGAAGTTGCAAAAATAGCACGGCTGGAGGGAAAAGTGTAGCTAGCTCTGTACGTGTCTGCTGGTTGAGGGGTGGTGCACCAGAGGTTGGGATTTGATCCGAAAAGCCTCAAGTTTCCAGAGGCTACATTACAAAGCAGGCTAATGACCAATCTTTGTTGGATCTACCAGCTGGTGGGTAATGAGGATTTGAACCAAGACCCAAGACAAGGACTGTTGGGTGAGAGTTGAGAAAGACTAGAGAGATAGGGGGTGGAGGTTGGAATCAACAGACTTTGGATGTAAAGAGTAAAGGATAGAGGATTCTGGTAGGATTCCCAGGTTCTAGAATGGAGCAGCAGCTGAGTCAAGGCAGAGGAAGCATGAAACAGTATGGGGATGAGTGCAGAGCTCTTGGTGAACCTGAATGGAACTCTGATCTAAGGAGACTTCCCTGCTCTTGGACAAAACATCAGAAAACAAGGAGGAACACTTCCCAGTAATTTTATAGAACAAACATCTCCCTTGATACCAAAACCAAAGACATTAAAAGGAAAAAAAAAAAAAAAAGCCTTTAGACTAATAGACCTCATAAACGCAAAAAATCTTAAAATATAAGCAAATTAAATCCAGGAATATATGAAAAGGATAATACATCATGACCAAATGGGATTGATCCTAAGAATGCAAGATTGGTTTAAAACATTCAGAAAACCAGTAAATGTAATTAGCTGTATAAACGAAAGAGAAAAAGCTGATCATCTCGATAGATAAAGAAAAAGCACGTGACAAGATTCAATACACATGAAAATTCTCAGCAAATTAGGAATAGAAGGAAACATTCTTTACCAATTAAAAGCCATCTACGAAAAGCCTACCACCAACAGAATGTAATAATGAAAGACTGAACGGTTCCCCTAAAAATCAAGAACAAAGAAAGAGTACCTCCTTTACCACATCAATTTAACATTGTACTTGAGGTCCTAATCAGAGCACATAGGCACTTAATTAATTAACTAATTAATGGTTCACAGATCAAAAAGAAGTGAAACTATTCACAGATGTCACGATTTGGGGCTCAGAAAGCTACTGGAACTAATAAGCGAATTTAGCAAAATCACAGAATACAAGGTCAGTATAAAAAACCAACTATTTCTATATACTAAAAATAAGCTATTAGAAGATGAAATTTCAAAATATATACTATTTGTTCTAGCATCCAAAAAACATGAAATACATAGGAATAAATTTAACAAGCTATGTGCCAAACTTGTACACTAAAATCTATAAAACATTGCAGAGCACAATCTTTAAACAACTGGAAAGATCATAAAATGTTCATAGTTTGGACTCAAAATTGTGATGTCATTTTCTCCCTAAATTGAACTATGCATTCAACAAAGTCCCAATAAAAATCCCAGAAAGTTTTTTTGTAGAAACTGGCAAGCTGATTCTAAAATTCATTTGAAAATGCAAAAAAAAATCTAGAATAGCCAAAACATTTTTGAAATAGAAGAACGGAGTTGGAGAGCTCCCCTACCTGATTTCAAGATATACCATAACGCTACAGTAATCAGTACTGAAGTGTTGGCACTAGGGCAGACAGATCGATGGGACAGAAAAAAACTCCAGAAATAGACCAATATGTACATGCTTAATTCATTCTCAACAAGAGTGCCAAGGTATTTCAATAGACAAAGGGTAGTCTTTTACAAAAATGGTGCTGGAGTAACTGGGGATCCACTTGAAAGAAAAAAAGAAATGAACCTCGACCCTTACCTAACACCACACACACAAATTAACTTCAAATGGATCACAGATGTAAAAGTCCAAACTACAAGATTTCTAGAAGAAAATTTAGGAGAAAACTTTCGTGACCTTGGGTTAAGCAAAGATTTCTTCGAATACCAAAGCCATGCGCCATAAAAGGAAAAAATTTATTGGACTTCATCAAATTTTAAAATGTCTGCTCTTCAAAAGATGCCATTTTAAGAAATGAAAAGACAAGCCATAGGCAGGAATAAAAAAACCTTTGTAATGCATATACATGACCCAACACAGGTATCCAAAGTGTATAAAGAACCCCTACAATTCAGTAACAATAACCTAAAATAGACCAATTTTTAAATGGACAAAATATTTAAACAGGTATTTTGCAAAAGGAGATACACAAGTGACCAGTAAACACTTGAAAAGATGCTCAACATCACTTGTCATCAAACAAATACAAATAAACAGACGTCACTATATACATCCGCTAGAATGGCTAAAATTAAGAAGACTGACAATGCCAAGTGTTGATGATGAATGGCCACTGGAATTTTCATACATTGCTGGTAGAAATGCAAAATGGTACAGGAATTCGGAAAATAGTTTTACAGTTTCATATAAAGTTTAATATATGCTTACAAAATGATCCAGCAATTCCACTCCTAGGTATTTACCAAAGAAGAACTAAAACATATATCCATGTGAACAAAGACTTGCTCTCTAATGTTAATGGCATTTTTATTCATAATATATGTCTAAAACTAAAAACTACCCAAATATCCATCAAAGGGTGTATGAGTCAGAGACGTATCACAAGGAATTGGCTCATGCAGTTATGAGGGCTAGCTACAGGTCTGAAACCTGCAGCGCAGGTCATCAGGTAAAGCAAACTGGAAGGTCTCTGGCAGGAACTGAAGCTGCAGTCCACAGGCAGAACTTTTTCAGGGAAACCTCAGTTCTGCTCCTAAGGCCTTTCAGCTGATTGGATCAAGCCCACCTGTATTACTGAGAGTAATCTTTATATAAAGACAGCTGATTATTGGTGTTATCACCTCTCCAAAGTGCCTTCACAGCCACATCTTCATTAGTGTTTCATTGAGTAAGTGGGTATGATAGCCTAGTCAAGTTGACACATAAAACTGACCAGCAGGTGACTGGGTATACAAATTGTGGAATACTACTCAACAATAAACAGAACAAACTACTGATAGAAGTAACGGTATGGATAAATAAGCCTCCAACACATTTTGTTCAACAAAAGAGGGCAGACGAAAAGACCCTGTAGGATTCTACTTATTTGAAATTCTAGAACAGTCAATAATGATCCACAGTGTCAGAATAGGTAAGTGCTTGCCTGGTGCCAATTAGACATTAGGGTGAGGATTCTGACTGCAAAGGGAAACAAGAAAACTTGGGAGAGTGATGGAAATTATAACTGGACTGTGGTGGGGGCTACCCAGCTATATACATTTGTCAAAATTCATCAAAATTATGCACTTTTTAAAAGATTTTATTTATAAGTAATCTCTACACCCAATGTGGGGCTTGAAACTACAACCCTGAGGTCAAGAATCACTTGCTCCACTGACTGAGCCAGCCAGGCACCCCAAATTATACACTTTAAACGAGTGCATTTATGTACATAAATTATTTCTCAGTAAAGTTGATGTGTTAAAAAGGGGGGGGGGGGGAGCTGATTCCTGCACAGCAGAAGCTCCAATCAAGGTTCCAGAGAGATATGTCAGTTCCTATAGCACTATTTTTGGAAAAGACTATCTTTTCCCTATTGAATTACCTTGGTACTTTTGTTGAAAAGCATTGAACCTTATATGTAGGTGAGAAGTTTCCTGGATGGGCGTGGAGGATAAAAATGCAATCAGATCAACTATACTTCATGAAAGAGAGAAAGAAAAAGAAAGAAAGAAAAGAAAGAGAGAAAGAGAAAGAAAGAGAGAAGGAGGGAGAGGAGAGGAGGGGAGAAAGGGCAGGAGAAGGAGAGGGGAGGAGGAAGGGGAGGGGAAGGAAGGAGAGAAGAAGGGAGGAGGGAAAGAAAAGAATTTAATCAGAGAGATCCCTAGTTATTTCTGACTTCAGAGATGTCACATGAGCGAGACAGAAGGGGATGTGGTCACTGGAAAGCCTCCTCCTCTTCACTACCCCTACCCCACCGAAACAAACATTTAAGAGCTGCCCTGTGCCCTATGAACGGCTGTTTGTTCAATGACTGGTCCTCATAAAGTGTGTCCCACGGTGTATTCCTCACCAGCTGCCACAGCAGCCTCTCTGGTGACCAAACTCATTCCCACCCCTTCTTGGCCATGGGAGAAATCATCCTTCTGGAAACAGGGCTCTTCTCTGGGGACCCTAACCCTGAGGGACCGGCCCTCCTGGCCTTGGAAAGGGCCCGCACCTAGAGGGTAGGGAAAGGGCAGGAAGGACGGCGACGAGCAGGAAAAGCCTTAAAGCGGCTTCCCATGGGGTGGCGAGGCAAGTCTAAGCTCGGCCGTCTCACCCAGTAGGCCTTGGTGAAGCCCCGGTGGTCCTGAAGGTGCTGCTCACGGCCTGGTCCCGGACCCCGGCAAGCAACTTCACCTGGGAACCTGTTAGAAATGCAAATGACCTTGGCCCCACCCAGCCTTCCACCGCCCCGCGCCGCGGAGATGGGACCCGGCCCTGCGCTTTAACAAGCCGTCCAGGTGCGCCGAGGCAGGGAGAGGAGGAAGGAATGGCAGAGCGGAATGGAGAAAGAAGGGCCTCTCCTTTAAGACTGAGTCGACGCCCCCGTGCTGCCCCTTCGCGAGCCCCCTAACAGGCTGCAGTGGGCGGCGGCGCTCAGGTGGGGCTGGGAGGAGGCGGGAGCGCGGGAGGCGGTGGCGGGCGGGCGAGAGGGCCCGGCCCAGGGGAGGGACAGCCGGGACCACGACGGCACCGACGGGGCTCCCAGAGCACCCGAAGGGCCCGCCGGGGCGGCTCCCATTCCCTCTCCAGCCCGGGCGACCTAAGCGTCGAGCGCCCCGCTCCGCTGGCCCCGGGACTGCGCCGCTGTACCCGCGGGGGCTTGGACTCGGGGCGGCGGGGCGGGATGCGGGTGGCCGCGCTGGGCGCCGGGCGGGCGCGGGCGGCGGGCCCGGCCTCGGCTCACTGCGGGCGCCCGTTCCGCACAGCCGCGGGGACCCCGGCTCCCGCGCCCCGCGGCATGAACCTCAGCAGCACGAGCAGCGCGGCCGAGAAGGCGCCCAGGGCCACGCTCTGGGGTGAGTGAGGGCCCGGCGGCTCCCGAGACCGGGGGCGGGGGGGGAGCCCCTCCCCTGAGCCGGCCCGGCCCCCTCGCTCCTCTCCCTTCGCAGGCTGTGAGCTAAACCAAGAGAAACGGACTTGGACGGTCAAAGCCCAGAAGGAGGGGAAGCAGGACTGTAAGCTGTTGCTCAGTACGGTGGGTGCCTCCCCGCCGGAAGGGTGGTCGGATGCAGCCGGGAGGGACTTGGCCAGCTGCGGAGGGCCAGGGGCCACTCTCTGGTCCCAGAAGGTGGAACAGGGTTTCCCTCCGCTGCCCTCCGGTGACGAGGTGGCCTGTCTCCAACCGCTCTCAGATTTGCTTGGGGGACAAAGCCAAAGAAGAGATGAACCTCGTGGAAATCCTGCCCCCAGCCAGCCAAGAAGACAAGAAGACCAAGCCCATCACCATCGCCTCGCTTCAGGCGTCTGTGCTACCCATGGTGAGCCTTTCCCCGCAGGCTTAGGGAGACTGCCTGCCCTGGGGCGCTAGGAGGCCTTGCTCAGGCTTCACCCCCTGGGTGGGGATGGACAGACACCAAGGGGGGATACAGTCGTTCTGCAGTAGGGCAGTCCTGCCTGAGAAGCCGTATAGCCCATGACTGAGAGCCCTGGATTTCGGAGGCAGAGAGCCCTATTTCCATCCCAGCCCATCCTTTACGAGCTGTGTGACCTTGGGCAAGTTAACCGCTTTTCAAAATCACGTTTTTAAACCTTTTGATGCTGGTGACAGGACACCGTTGATGACTTCCATACTGATTGTGTATCCAGAAATTCTTTTTCTAATTATCTTGAGTTCTTTATGCAAATCATCGTTGTTAATGGCAGTTTTGTGTCTTTTTTAATCCAACTACACGGTCTCGGACCTCCAGTATAATATTAAGTAAGATTATAACGGTAAATGTCCTTGTTTCATTCTTGATATATATGTATATTTTTATAGATTTATTTATTTGAGAGAGAGAGAGAGAGAGCAAATGTGCATCAGCTTGGTGGAGAGGGAGGTAGTCTTAAGCAGATTCCATGCTGAGCGCAGAGCTGGATCTCCTGACCCTGAGATCTTGACCTGAGCTGAAACCAAGAGTCGGCCGCTTCCCTGACTGAGCCACCCAGGAGTCACTATATGTATATTTTTAAAGGAATGCTTCTAATGTTTCTCCATTAAGTATGACATGTTTGGTAGACACCCTTTTTCAGGTCAAGGAAGTCCCCATCTAGTCCTGCTCTCCTTTTTAAAACTGGGATTTCTTCATTTAATCATAAATGGTTAGCAAATGCTTTTCTATTCAGATAATCATAGGTTCTTTCTTTAACCTGTTAATGTGGTAAGTTATATTAATAGAATACTATTCCGTCAACTTTGCATTCCTAAAATAAACATTATTTGATCATACTATAAATTTCTAGATTTGCTTCGCTAATATATTAAAACTTTTTTAAAAAAACTTATATACTCATAAGTGAGGTTGACCCATAAACTCCTTATCTTATTTGGGTGTCAAGGCATACTGGCCTCATGAACAGGGGGATGGAGTGTTCTCTCCTTCTATGTGGTGGAACAGTGAAGGTAAGACCAATATCATCTGTCCCTGAAGACCTGGGAGGCCCATCTGTAAAACTGTCCTTAAACTTTTTTTTCCCTCTATCTATGAGATCTCCCTAGATCTCATTCATTGGCCAGGGTTTTAAAGACCATTTATACAAATGAAGACTCTGATATTTATTTCTGTAAACCCACTCTCTCTTTCTCTCTTGCTCCAGATCCTCTGTCCAGCTCAATGTATTTGATACCTAAGAGATAACCCATACTTGACAAATCCAAATCCAAACTCTTGATTTTTATCAATAATCTCTTCCCCCACCCCCAAACCTGATCCTCTCCCAGGATATAATTACTCTTCCAGTTAATCAGGACAAAAACCTCCTTCTCAAACACTGTGTATCACCAGCAATTCCTGTTGGCTCTACCTTCAAACATACACCAACCAGTCTGACCACCTTTCAGCACCTCCCTACTATACCCTGGTCCAGGTGACCATTACCTCTTGTTCAGTTTTATTGCAGGGCCTCCTACCTGGTCTACCTACCCTTTACCCTTGGTTTCTTATAGTCTATTCCAGGGTTCAACATACTGCAGAATTAAACCCAGCCCACTGCCTGTTTTTGTAAATAAAGTATTATTGAAACACAGCCACACGCCTTCATTTATGTATTATTCATGCCTATTTTCACTTAGTAACAGCAGAACTGAGTAGTCTCCGCAGAGACCATATGGTTCACAAGCCTAAAATATTTACCGAATATCTACAGAAAACTTTTCCCCAACTCCTGATCTATTCTATGCACAGCTGCCAGAAGGATCCTTTTAAATTTTTTTTTAATATGTATTTAAGTAATCTCTACATCCAATGTGGGACTCAAACTAACAACCCCGAGATCAAGAGTTGCATGCTCTTCTGACTGAGCCAGCCAGGCGCCCCCAGAAGGATCCTTTTAAACAAAAGTCAGACCACATTGCTTCTCTACTAGAACACCTAGGTCAGTGGCTTTCCATTTCACTTCGAATGAAATCCAGGATCCTTTATGTTCTGGCCTGCAGAAACCTCTCTTAATCTCAACCTTTGCTACTCTCCCCTCCCTAACCCTGCTCAAACCACACTGGCTTTCTTGACTGTACCTTGAAAATTCCAAACATACCCCTTTCTAGGAGTCTTGCATTTAATGTTTCTGTGAGAAGGACACACTTGCCCCCAACTTCAATTCAACCTTTGCTCATATGTCCTCTCACTGAAGAAGTCTTCCCTGACCACAAACAGCACCCCCTCTTCCTACCCTTCAATAATCACTTTTTCCCCCATGGGACCCATCACTGGCTCAGTCTTCATTTGTGCTTTGTCTTTCTCCCCAGCCAGGATCTAAGCCTCAAGAGAGCAAGGACTCTGCCTGTTTCGTTTACTGCCTTCACCATAATGCCTATAGAATAGTGCCAGGTATATTGTGGAAACTCGGCATATAGTGAATGAGTGAGTAAGGAAGTGAACAAACTAGGTGGGACTGGTTTGATTTTAAACTATTGTCATTTATTTAGTAGTTTTGGGTCTCAGTGTTTCCATTTCTTTGAGTCGTTTTTTTATATCTGCTTTATTGAGATATAGTTTATATGCAATAAGATTCACAGTGTTGGAGCGCCTCTGTGGTACAGTCCTTAAGCATCTGCCTTCGGCTCAGGTCATGATCCCAGAGTCCTGGGATCGAGCCCCACATCAGGCTCCCTGCTCAGCGGGAAGCCTGCTTCTTCCTCTCCCACTCCCCCTGCTTGTGTTCCCTCTCTTGCTGTCTCTCTGTCAAATAAATAAATAAAAATCTTTAAAATATATATATATAAAATATATAAATATATAAACACTTATATATAAAATATATTTATATATTTATGTATGTATAGATATAAATATATAAAATATATTTATAAATTTATATATTACTTATCTATTATAATATAAATAAAGTCTTTAAAATATATTTATTTATTTCAAGTATTTTCTCCTAGTACATGGCTTGCTTTTTCATAATAGTTTTTTTGAAGAGCACAAGTTTTTAATTTTTACAAAGTCCAATTTGACTTTTTTTCTCTTTTTTTTTTAAATATTTTATTTATCTGTTAGAGAGAGAGAGAGGGAGCATGAGCAGCGGGGAGGGGCAGACGGAGAGGCAGTCTCCCCACTGAGCAGGGAACCTGATGCTGGGCTCAATCCCAGGACCCTGACTGAGATCATGACCTGAGCCAAAGGCAGCTGTTTAACCGACTGAGCCACCCAGGCACCCCTGACATTTTTTTTCTCTTATGGTTCATTTTTTTAGTGTCCTGAGAAATCATTGCCTAAACTGAGGTCACAAATGTTCTCTTCTAAGTTTACTTCTTGGAGTGCTATTGTTTTAGCTCTGACATTTAAGTCGATGATCCATTTCAAGATAATTTTTTTGCATGGTATAAAGTAAGGACAGTGAAACATTTTTTTCCAAGTTTCTATCCAGTGCTCTAGCACCACATTTTTTTTTAAAAAACCATCCTTTCACTATATTTGTATTTGTTAGCATCTTTCCATAAATCAATTGCCCATATATGTATGCAGATATTTCTGTATTGTTTCATTGATTTTTTACCTTTACTTTCATAACAGTGATTTGATTATTGTAGTTTTATAGTGAATCTTAAAATTAGTGTGATTCTTCCAACTTTGTTGGTCTTTTCCAAAAGTGTATTGGCAAATTCTAGGTCCTGAGCATTTCCATAGGAATTTCAAAATAGGCTTTCTTTAAAAATCAGTATTTTGGGATTTTGATGGAGGTTGTATTGAGTCTAGAGACTGCTTTGAGGGGAATTGGCATCTTAACAATTGTGAGTCATTAGTAATTGAACATATGTTTCTCTATTTGTTTAAGTCTTTCACTTTTCACTCTAACATATGTCTTTAACTTAACTTTAACTTTTCCTACTAATATTTTATAGTTTTCAGGGAACTGGTCATATACATGCTTTGTAAAATCTACCCCAACATACTGCATGATTTTGGGTGCTATTGAAAATGGTATTAATGTATTTATTGAAAGATAATTCATGTACCATAAACTTTGCCTATTAAGGTAAAATCAGATGGTTTTTGGTAAATGAAAGGTGATGTAACCATCACAATCTAAGTTTAGAACATTCTCATCACCCCAAAAAGTAACTCCATACCTACTAGCAGTCACTCCCCATCCCCCAGACCTGCAGCACTAGGCAACTGTTAATCTATTTTCTGTCCCTCCAGATTGGCCTGTTCTGGGCAGTTTATATAAATCATAAAACGTGTGGTCTTTTGTGACTGCTTCTTTCACGTAGCATAATGTTTTTAAGGTTCATCGGTGTTGTAACCATCACAATCTAAGTTTAGAACATTCTCATCACCCCAAAAAGTAACTCCATACCTACTAGCAGTCACTCCCCATCCCCCAGACCTGCAGCACTAGGCAACTGTTAATCTATTTTCTGTCCCTCCAGATTGGCCTGTTCTGGGCAGTTTATATAAATCATAAAACGTGTGGTCTTTTGTGACTGCTTCTTTCACGTAGCATAATGTTTTTAAGGTTCATCGGTGTTATAGCATATAACAGTACTTTTTTTAATTGCCAAATGATATCCATTGTATGGACAATACCCCATTTCAGTTATCCACTCAGCAGTTTATGGAATTTGTTTTATTTCTACTTATTACGAATGCTATTGTGAACATTCATGTACAAATTTTTGTATGAGCACGTGTTTTCATTTCTCTCGAGCATATACCTGGGGGTGTAATTGCCAGGTCATATGGGAGCTTGACATATATAACATTTTGAGGAACTGCCAAATTGTTTCCTAAAGTAGTCACACCATTTTACAATCCCACCAACAGTGTGTGAG